TCAACTTCTCCTGCTGTGCCGTGCCATGCTGTGCCGTGGTCCCGCGGCTTCTGATTGCCTATTTGCCTGCTTGTCTGTCTGTCCGTGACAGTAGCAGTCACTCGACAAGTAACAGGCAACAGGCAACAGGTACGATCGGACCGGCTCAACGTTTCGGGGGCAGGGGGAGGAGGTTGTTTTTGTTTTTGTTTTTCCTTCCCTCCCCTTCCCTTCCCTTCCCTTCCTGTTCAAGCCCACGCCGTCCGATCTTTACCGCACGGGAGGGAGGAATCGAGGGATCGAGGGTTAGGGGGGACTAAGGGAATCTGCAGCTCTCCCGCTGTTGCGTTGACGGACCACGGTTGCACTGGGAAGGGAAGGGGAGAAAAAGAAAGGAAAACAATAAAAACAGTTTAAACACGTGTACATTACATTAGGTAGAGTAGAGTACTCTATAGCGGATCCGATCAAACTTCAAACAGAAGTTCAGGTCCTTACCTTACCTTGCCGCCCCCTTCGCCGGCGCCGCCGCCCGCACCTGCCTGCCTGCCACCCAGTCAAGTCAGTCAAGTCAGTCAATCAGCAATGCCAAGCCCGCCGGTTCAATGTTTGTTGTCGTTACAGGGCGAGACAAAGTGAAGCACTTAGCACCTTAGCAAGCAAGCCGGCTCGTATCTAAGCGGGCTGACAGCACAGGACAGCACAGGATACAGGAGACAGGACAGCCGCGATTTCCAGCAGGAATATATCGCGTGCACGTACGCGCGAGTGCAGATGTATGCATAACTGCAACAGAACCGAACCGAACAGAACAGCACTTTTTTTTCCTTTTCCTTTTCCTTTTCCGTGGATGTAGGGTATGTAGGGTATGTAGGCATGTGGATGTGGTAGTTAGGGTCTGGATACATATGATGGCGATGGCGGCGGCGGCACCACTGGCGTCGTTCGTCGTGGTCGTGGTTGTGGTCGTGGTTGGGACGTGGGGACGTGGGCCCGCGCCTCGCCTCGCCTCGTCCGGGTCAGGTCACCACCGCGAGGAATTTCTCAACCCCCCGACCCCGACCCTGGCCGGACGACCGTCTCCTATCTACATGCGCATGCCTCTCTCGAAGGTTCTAGAGTCCCAGTACCAAGATGTGATACCTAGTCGTGGCTGGCTGGCGGGCGGGCGGGCGGGAACGGTGTTTGTCGAAGGCTTTTGACTTTTGGCTTTTGTCTGTGACCCCGCTTGCAATCATAGTACCGGTATTGCCGCCACGGGGTGGGTTGGCCCTTGGGTTGCGTTGGATTGAGATGAGAGACGAGACGAGACCGCGCGAGACCGACCTTTTTCTTTCGCTAGTTTTTTTCTTTCTTTTTTTTCCCTCTCTCTCTCTTTCCCGAGCCGAAACGAAACGAACGGGAAGGTCTTCAGGTACGAAGGTATCTAGGTTATCTCTAGCGAGAAGACACGAGCGAGAAGAGACGAGACGAGACCGGCCAGACGAGACCGGCCAGACGGGACGAGAGTTCTAGAAGCGTGAACATGGTTGCCGTTACATACACACCGGTAGTTATGGTAGTTGCTCTAAGGACAGCGGGACGATGCGATGCAATGCGATGGCCTACCTGCCTGTGGCCTGTGGCGAAGCCCTACGGATGACTACTCAATCCCGTCTCATCCGGATGGCGGATCTAGATCTACCATCTGGCCATCCAGCCAGCCAGCCAGCCAGCCATGATCCATTCCTCGCCGACTGAACGAACGAACGAGAGAAGAGAATGGGGGGTGTCAATTCCGCTTCGGATATTCGAATCCGGGTGTTGAGTGAGTGAGTGAATGAGCACCGTACCTATGGAGAGTACAGCGCATGGCTGGAGCCTGGCAGGGCTTCGGCGCAGTACCGACACACCTACCATCGTAATTTCGTAGCCCCTTGTCGTGAACTCGCTGTGCTTCTACTCTGGCAGATCATACGGTAGAGCACGGTAGGTACGATACGGAAGCCTCGTTCGAGGTATGTCCATTGTCTGTACCGTATGTCTGTACCGTAAATAGTAAGTATAGTTAAGTATAGCGCCGGTACCTACCCCCTCCTACTCCAGAGTCCACCCTGCGTGGAGTCGTGGACCGCATGTCCGCATGGACCATGTCCATGTCCGGATCCGTTCGGCGCAGGTTCAAGTTCAGGTTCAGGTTCCAGTTCAAAGTCACGATCACCGAAAGTCCATCGCCTCGCCTCGCCTCGCCTCGTCCACGGTCCACGGTCCACGGTCCATTGCCCACTGCGTTGCATTCTATTCTCGGAAACCCTGATCCAGATTCTAGAGTGTGTAGAGTACCTATAGCAGTGAGAGTCTGAGAGAGAAAGAGTGAGAGAGTGAGACACGGTGGGGCACTGGTGGTGGTGGTGTCTCACTCGCGTATCCGTGTCCGGAGAGGGGGGCGGGGATGGGGATGGGGAAGGGGGGCGCACTGCACCGCGCGCGGCGGTACCGGCGGCTTTTTTGCGTTGGAACACTGTGTCGTGTCGTGTCTTGTCGGCGTCGGCGTCGGCGTCGGCGGTGTTGTTGGTGGCGACGGAGCCCTCGATCGGTCCGAGCTTTGCTGCGGGTTGCTTTTCCTACATACATGAGCTACTAGTACTTGGGTAGACTTGGGTACTGGTACTTGGGTCCTCAGCGGTAGAGACTCTTTCGTGGGGCCGCGCGGCTCCAGACATGCATAAGGTCTCTAGAGCATAGCATAGCATAGCATAGCAGAGTATCTAGAGCAGAGCCCGTCCGTATGCATCCGCGGCCGTCGTTTCGCCGTCGTCGTCCTGTCAGCAAAAACAGTCCAGAACCCTTCCTTCAACCCTTCAACCCTGTGGCGCACTTGTGATTCGTCGTGATACATAGATCATAGTGGGCTTGGGCGTAGGTAGGCGTGGGCAGATCTCACACATCCTATGGCTTAGCCGACTACATACTCTACATACGCACTCGGTTGCTGCTAGTTACTGGAGTATTGCTATGTGGCTTGTGGCTTGATGTGGCTTTCTATGTATTTTATTTTTATTCTACATATCAAACTTAAGTGCTTAGAGTAACATGTATGGACACCCCGTCGCTCCACAAAACCTCGCTCGCTCGCCTCCACGCATGCAAGCCAGCGGCCAGCCAGCCAGCTTTTTCCGCACAAAAGCGCCACGGATATATACCTAGGAATAAGATCTCTGCTCGAGTATTGTACATAAATACGAGTGGAGTGTGCGTGCATGTGTGCATTTGTGTGTGTGTGTGTGTGTGTGGATTCGTGTGAGTTTCGTGGATGTGGGGAATTCTCAATGGGATTGTTGGGTGGCGAATCTCGTCCTCCTTGTCCTCGTCCTCCTCCTGCTGCTGCTCATGCTCCTGCCGGACGGAGGACCAGAGTGGGGTGGGGTCCGATTGGCGTTTGCTTTTTTCCTTCCTTTTTTCTTCTGGGGCCTGGGTCGAATCATGAATGTATATACCACTCTATATTGCTTTTGGGAAGGCTATGGGGATCGGGGTCCGGGGATCGAGAAGTCGTTTTGCGAAAAAGCGGGAATATGTATAGGGAAAATTGTATGGGCTATTGGGGAAAATTGTATGGCGATGTTGACAATGTTTGGCGCGTAAGACACAGGTACTCTACTCTACTCGTAGTTAGGGAGGAGATCTGAATCGCTCGCGTTGTTCCATGTGCTGAAGTAATGTCTTATTCAACCGGGTGAACACTGGAGGGGGGGAGTGGGAGGTGCCAACTATGAAGCATGTATCTACGGTACCTACCCTATGGCCGCTCGAGAGGTCGTATGTAACGTACCTATCCACGGAAGACCCGAATCCTCCCCCACCCCCTCCCCCAAGCAGGCAAGCAGGTAGCGGCCCCATCCACACAGAACCACATAGCGAGACTGCTGCTGCGTTGTTCCAAACCGCTCCATCCATCCACAGGAAGTCGAAGCACGAGTGAGCTCCGCCTCCACCACCTCTACCACGACACGACCGACGATCCCTAACCCACACATGCCCAATCGAACCCAACCCACACGCAGTAGCCCCCCCCCCCAAGAAAAAAAAAATCCTCAACAACCACACACACACACATCCAGCAGGTAGGAAGCAGGCAGGCAGTGCGCATCGTCGCGGCCGCAACGGCAATGGCAACGCTCGCTCGCTCTCAAGTCGAAAGCCACCAAAAGCGCCGCGGCCACTGAGCCAGCGCCATATCCTTGGCCCCGTCCGGCGTCCGTTTCCCATCGCAGTCCAGTCCTTTCCGTCGTCCTTTCCGCCGTCGCTGGAAGTCCCAGGAATCTGCATCGAGTGCACCGCCGCAGCACCGGGAAGGGGAAGGGGGAGGCGTTGGGCGTCGATACTCTAGAGTACCTAGAAGAGAACGAGGAGTTGGACTCTGGAGCTGAAGCTGGAAGAGGAGAAGTAAAAAAGTGCACTTTTCTCGTAATCGCCTGGAGCGAGAAATAAAAATAAATCACAAGTGTGAAATAAAAAATAACAAAAAAGCCGGGAAAATGGAAAAAGCGGAAAAAAGGACGGAAAAAGCGACTGGTCACTCACTCAGAGTCGAGTCGGTCGATCGAGCAAGGAAAGAAAAGGAAGAGAGAGAAAAAAAACCCGCGGCTTCGTGCAGCCTACCCCCCCTCCCCCCCGGACGGCGATGCCCGGACTGTTCCCGCACTGGCAATCGTAGAGTGCGGTATGTGGACCAGACCAAGTGGTGGTGGCTGCTGGATGGGAAAGAACAATTTCCCTCTCGCTCCTCCTCCTCCGAGAGTGCTCCTCCTCCAGCTCCTCCCTGTTTCCCCAAACCACGATCGTGCGAACTTCTCCCCTCCTTGCCTGCCTGCCTGCACCGCTAGGTAGACGCACGCATTCCTCCTCCTCTCCTATTCACCCTCCTCCTGCTCCTTCTCCTCCTTCCTCCTCCTCTCCTTGGCTCAATTCTTGGTTTCACAGAACGTTTGCTTTCTGTTTGCAACGCCAACGGGAGTCGACGACGAAAGTGAATTGCGCCTGGCCTGGCCCGCCGCCGTCCATCATCCGCCAGCGATGAAGATGAAATGAATGCACCCTGCGCCTTTCGAATAGAATAGAGTATGTAGAGTGAACACGAATTAAGAGGAGTAATAGTGATTATTATCATTTGTTCTTGTTCTTGTTCTTCTCGTTCGTTCATTCGCAATCGTAAAAAAATAATAGTGGAAAAAAAAAATCCCCAAAACGTAAAAAAAAAACGAAAAACCCACCCAGTGCTCCAGATAAAAAAATGAGGAAAAACAAAACGCAGAAAAACAGAAAAGCCAGAAAAAATAAAAAAACAAAAACAAACCCGCCCCCGCCTTCCGCCTCCCAAGATGATGATGATTGCAACGCCGCTCCGGTATCTAGATGTATGATGGTACACATGACTATTGAGGAAATAAAAAGAGAAAGAACCCCGTTGAAACCCCGCGTTAGGAAAGGAAGGAAAAATGATAACAATGATAATGAATAAGATCCTGAAAGCCTGTGGGATTGGTGTCGTCCGCTCTCACTAAGGAGAAAACCAATTCCGCCCAAAGTACATACAGATTGAAGAGATAGATGATAAAGCCACCCTGGCCGAACGAATGAATGAACGAACAGCGACAACACAGCAATCATGAGACACAGTCCACCCCCCCCCCTCTCCCCCGCAATCGTGGAGGTAGTCGGAGCTGATGGCCACACGATCGGATGGCGACGACGACGGTGCCGACAGTAGGCAGGAGCGAGACGCAGCAAGCGGTGCAGGCACGCAGGATCGCAACCCCTCATTCTGCTTCCCAGCCCCACCCCTTCATTCCTTCCCCACTCTCTCCCTCGATCTCCGCGAGACTCACTCCATCCGGTATCACGTACGCAGCAGTAGCCTTTGCTCGAATTCGGCTCAGCAGACGTCCGGGCTAGAAACCGACAATGCACCGATAGGCAATGCAGGCGGATGAGGTAATGCAATCGCTGTTCCGGCAAGCGATGCATGGGTCCATCTTCGAAGGGCGAGGCCGGGCGACCGACGACGCGAGAGCAATATTATTGCCGAGGTGTGCGGTGGAGGACAGGTACTGTGAAATGAGCCTGCATGCGACAGACGATGCGATAGGTCGTATTCGAACTGCCGTATTGGAATTGGGGGGGGGCTCGATTTTTTTTGTAGTGGGGGGTAGATATCGTGAGATTTTGGGGCTGCCCATTCGATGCGATTCGGGGGGTTGATTGCGCTGGTGTGGTGTTGCGTGGTGGTGGTGGTGGGTGGGTTACCCCTCCCTCTCCCTCGTCCCCCGGCCGGCGCCATTGCATTCAGACCAATCGCAGCTCTTCGTGATGCCCAACCGGACCGGCAAAAGCTGGCGTCTCGTCGCAGGTAAGGATAAGAAAGGACGCCAGCGACGGTGCAACGGCAGTAGTGGTGACGGACTACATGAAGTAGCTGGGCGTCTGACGAGGAGGAAGGGCTCCCTTGTCGTGGACCGAAGAGTCGGGAAAAATGATGATGATGATGATGTTTCGAGAGACGGAGACAGCGGGCGGGTAGGGGGGAGAGACGAGCCGGGGGGATGGGTTAAGAAGCAAGCATGACGTAACGCCGAAAATGACTTGAACACCAACCCGAACCGAGGCAAGCAAAGCAATACAGGCGGGGACCCAGCGGGCGTCCACTGCGGATGCGGATCGCTCTCCAGAAAATGCAAAAATACTCAACAGGACACCGAGCCCATAAACCCCGAAAACCCCCAGGAAAAGGAAATACAATGACAGAAACCCAAACACCCGTTATCCCGCAAATGGCCCATACCCGAATAAGAGGGGGAAAAAGGAAATATTCAGATATAAACACACGGGAGAAATGAAACGGATATCCTTTTGGGCGGAGGGCGGACGGGTGTGCGGAGTGGATCGAACGAGCTGTGGTGGTTTTATTGGTCGTTTGCCGATTTTGTCGATCGCCATGAGCGAGAGAGGAAGGCGGGGGAGATGATCGAGGGGAGTAGGGCGGCGGATGAAGCGAGAGACCACTCGCTTGACCGCTGGTGTGTCGGGGATTGCTAGGGCAGGCGCAGCTCTATCGGGGGTCCTGCGCGGAAATGGCAAGTGACGAGAAGTCTATCGATGGCCGCCTGTAGGCTACGGGACTGCCGAGCGCGAAGACTGATTTCCGCAGGTTGAGTTGCTGGAGAACGCACACGCTGTTAGACTGACGTCCTCTCCCCACCTCCACAGATGGACGGAAACCAAAGACAAACGTACCCGACAACTGTCGCAACGACCTCCGGGAATGTTTACTCGTCCGCGGCATCCTCGTGGCTGGTTTACACAAGAGTACATTTTTGGAGTGGTTGTTGGTTGTTCGTTCCGGATGGAGCTGGGCAGGTTGACTGCTGGCTGTTGCGGATGGACAGTCGCTGGGTGGAGCTGCTGAAGGTGTTTTTGCTTTCTGCCTTGTGCTTTGGGCTTTCTGGAGATGTTGCTACTGCTGGTGTTCGTGCGAATGGGTGCTGATGATGGTTTTGTAGGTGAAGTTCGACTGGCAGTTGTGGGTGGGTGATTGTGCTTTCGGGTTGGATGCGTGAAGTTATCGTGTTGTTCGTGTGCTGGATGATGGAGACGCCTTTCACTGGAAGGTTCAATGGGTTGGTATTTATGTTTGAGGAGGGGGGAGTTCGTGAGTAATATATATGGACGGGCGAAGCTAAACGGAGACCTGTCTCTCGTACAGCCTTTCGGTGGTGAGCCGGGGTCTGGATGGGAGGGGGGGTAGTGGTGGTGGTGTAGGTGGTGATGAGATTGTCGCGGAACTTGGTTCGCAGGGGTGGCTAGCGTGGTTCACGGAACCGCTGTGACTGAAAGGACAGTCGAAGGTCCCGGGTCACTTGGAGGGACCACCTAGCCCAACCACCATCATTGTGCGAGGTGCTCACCCACACACCCACCCACACACTACGCTCACGAACCCTAGAGTTGCTCGACCTACAGGCCCAGATGCTTGCGTGCCCACCAGGCACAAGTACGTACATGCAGCGACCTTCGTACGTCTCGAGGACGGACTGACTGACTGGCTGACTACTTGCGCATGTACAGCATGCTCGCGATACGGTTAACTTGCTCACGGCCAGGAGCTGGCGCGCGCGCGAGGAGAGCGAGACACACACACACACACACACACACAGACAAAGACACACGGAGAGAGGGGACGGTCGGTGGACGGCGTGAACAGCTTCATCGTGCACCCTTGCAGATTCTGCGCACTCATTTGTGTGGTGGTGGTTGTGGGGCTGGCTGAGGAAGACGAAGAAGAAGAAGCAGAAGAAGAAAGCATTTCTGTAAGGAGAACTTCGACCGTCCGAGCCGTCTGGGCAGAGCACAACCCTGAGGCACTCTGGCTGGCTGCTCCGTCCGTGTGTGGCCCCGGCGGCCAGCAGTCGGTTCCGTGTCCCATCAAGGCAGCGGCCATGGCCGTGCCGGCCGGGATCCCCGTCGCTCTTGACTGCTCCCCCTCACCCCTTAAGCGGATGGACGGACGGACGAATGAAAGAAACAGACGAACGAACGGCGCGGAGTCGGGACTCGAGACATGTCCAAGTCATTCCGTTGCGTCCAGCATTGCGGATCCACTCATCTGTCGCCCTATCCTCTATCCCCTCCCCAATCTCGACGACGACATGTGCCTACCTCCCGTAGTTACTTGCTTGCCTGCCTCAAACCTGCGACTCAATTCGTTAGTCGCCGCGCGACGCCACCCCAGCAGCGAAACGAAAGGCACTAAACCCTCTGATCCAAGCATTTTTCTGCGCTGGTAGCGCAAGATGATGCCGTGTTTGGGCTGGCACTATGGTCAGTTCGTTCCCGCTCCCTCTTGTCACTCCGTTTCATGTCGTTCGTTTCGCGGTCCTCTGTTCCGGGACAAAGACTGGACACGGGCCTCGACACCTCCGGGGCCAAGACGCAGAGCTGAGAGCGGAAGAGGGAGAGCTGAGCGATGTCGGTCGGATCCCACGGAAATGCTCTAAATATTTCTTGTTCGCGCGATGAAATCAAACCGATCGGGTCCTCGCCCTCGGCGTCCCACCATTCTCCACGGCAGGCTGTCCAACTCTCCTGTCCCACTCTGTAAATGTCGACGTCGCGAAATCCCCATACTATAACTACGTCGGATCAGGATCAGGTTGTTTCCCCACATCGTGCACACCCCACCTCGAATTTGCAGGCGCATACGACACAGCAAGCGACCAACAGTGCGCCCAACTCCGGATCGAGGCAGACTCCCGAATTCTTGGACTTCGGAGAAGGCGGACAGAATGAGACGATAGGTACAGTCATTTGAATCATTTCACCTCCATCATTACCCCTTCGAAATGGAGTGTTGGCCAGTCGTGTCGTACATAACCTGCGCGAAACATCAACAAAAAAAAACAGGACCTGCGTCTTTCGAATCTCCGTCAACGTGAGGTAAAGCTGCCTTGGCTATCACAACAGCTTGAACACCAGGCAGCGCGAGTTATCAAGCTGTGACAGCAATACCGATGCCCGTTCCCTTCAGAGAGCGGATCATCTGGTCCCCTTCGGCGCACCCAATCCAAGCCAACACGCAGTCCTCACGGGTACCTGCTCGAGCTCGAGCTACTCTACCTAGGCCTTCGGGCTCCAGCAGAGTTGGAGAATCGTCCGCCACAACGGGTAACACTCCACATGTCAGAATTGCCATGCTTCCTTCCTACGCTTGGAGGATAGGTGGAAGCATAGCTTCCTGCTTGCCCAGGTACATAGATGTTCTGCATCTCTACCTTAGGACCTATGATGCTTCTATTATTACATACTCCATAGCTGTTTCCTTTTTTTTCGACGGAGGCAGGGCAAGCAAGCGGCGGCAGGGCACGTACGCTACTCTACATGATGAATGACGCAGCCTTGCAGCCTTTCAGAGGACGTGCAGCTGGCAGTCTACCTATCTCCTGCAACTCACCAGGCACTACTGTACTCTCCAAAACGCTACTGCTGGGTAACATCATCATAAGCTGCTATCCAAACTTCTTCCCATCTGGTCTTGCTCGGCCAAGCGGCGGGGGGGAGGAGGGGCGAGACACCGCGGGGAGGGGAGAGAGAGGGGTTTCGGGGACACGATACGACCTATGAAAAGCACGGACATCCCAGGCCCAGGTACGGCCGGAAAGAACTCTCTCTCTCCCTATCCAATAATTCGTTTGCATGAACGAACGTTAACATCACGTACATCACGTCGGCTCCCCGCACACGACATTGAAATTTGCTGGTCTTTTCTCGTCCTGTCTGTCCGTCCGCCCTCTTCGTCCGTTGCTCTGCTGTCCGCCCTCTCCGTCATTTACTCTGCTGTCTGTCCGCCCCGCCTCTCCTGCTCGCCTCTCCTGCTCGCCTCGACGGCGATCCGGATACGGTACCTGTATCCACTCCTTACCCTCGCGTATCCCACATCGTGTTCGTGGCGGCGTTGGCGTCGGCGTCGGCGTTGTCGTTGTCGCCTCATGTGGTGTGCGCGCGCGAAATGTGACAACCCTCTACCTCACTTTACCTCACTTTACCTCACCTCCTAGCCCCGTGTCTGTGCGTACATAATCGATAAGTAAAACTATGTATGCAGATGTCTCTCGTCGATGTCAGTTGTCGCAGATCCAAAGCACAGTCCGCGGTTGATTTGAACTGCCAATCATTGGCACTAGTTTACTACGGACAAGATGCCGGCATTTGACGATATGTTCCGAGGGGAAGGGGGGTATGTGTGTAAGGCAGGGCATAGTTGTGTACATATCGTACGAGGACGACGACGATGATGATGGAAATGCTCGGGGTTTGATTAAACCTGGGCTTTGTGGGATGTCGGTTCCCTTCCTTCTTTCTTTCCGGCTTCTTTCTTTCCTATCATACTTCTTTCTTTCCTGCTACTTTCCTTCCTCCTTCTTTCTTCACTCTTTCCTTCCTCCCCCTTCCCTTCCTTCCGTTGTTGCGATACCGGGCTGGCCGTACGCCGGTAGTTATTGGTCTCGCGATGGGTAGGAAGTAGAGTAGCATGGCTGGCTTCTTCTCGGCTGCGAGTACCTGCTCTATCCATATGAGGGGCCGTCATAGGGCAAGGACAAGCCCGCCGGAACACAAGGCAGGCGAGGTTTCGACTCTCGAAGGGGGTCGGGGGTCGGGGGGACAGATCTTTTTGCTGCCTTCTTTTCCCTCACGTCTGGGAGACGGAGAAGTCTGGACCGGGCTTTTTTCGACTGGCATTCGGACAGAAATGGCCCGCCGCTAGGGAGGTTACCTCCCCTCCCTTGCCATGCCGTCTCGTCCCTTCTTCATACCATACATACCTGGGCTAAGCGCCGTCCGTTCCTCTGCTTTCCTTCACTTATGAGATCTTCTTTCCGAGCGGAGACCACGTTCCTTCGCTCGGTTCTGGGTTTTCTCGCTATCCGGCTGGCCGGATCACCGACGAACTTTCCACCGCGGCAAGCAGTAGGGTGAAATGTGCGTGCGCGGTGTTTGTATGATAGAGAATGTGGCGGAGGGAGGGGAAGAAGGAGGCGGTGATACCTGGTATGTAGGCAGGCCTTACGTATACATCGTGCCACCCAGCAGCAGCAACAGAAAATGGCGGCTTCGCATTGGATAGGCAACAAGATGGGCGTTCCGACGAGCCATCCAGCCATGTGTTGTACGTATGATGTACTCTCGTATTCATTCTATTACTCTACCGTACATACCTACGACCACAGTGTTGCGGGATCCATCGAATGCAATGCACATGATCACGCGCGGTACGGAGCGGCGGCTGAGGGAAATGCAGCGAGAGAGCGAAATATTACGGTTGACCTCTCACGTTCCTCCAGCTGGCCATGGTATCGTGGCCGTGGTGGTTGTGTTGTGTTGTGGTGGTAGTCGTGGTCGTGGCCGACGTCGACGTCGACGTCCGTGCTCTCCCCTCCTCCCTACTCCTCGGCTTAAGCTTCTGTCATTTCCCCGCATCGCTATCATTGAGTTTGCGGCCGGCTGGCTGGCTGGTCTGGCCACGATATCCACAACTCTCCACCTTCCACAGCAGAAGCAAGCAGCGAACAACAAGCAACAAGCAGCAAGGTGAACCTTTTTTTCCTTCTTCCGCTTCCCCCCTCTGGCATCGTGAGCCTGGACTCCGCATGTCCCGGTCAAGAGCTATCTGTCCATCAACATTTCTTTTACGTTCGTGGTTCCGGATCGGTCCGTCTGGACTTGCTAAATGCACTCACCCGCAACAACGCCGAGCATCGTCGCCAGGTAGGTCCTCTTTTCTCCGTCTTCTCCGTCTTCTCCGTCTCTATCTCTCCAACGCTCTATTTGCGCCCCCGCCCCGCCCCGCCTTGTCCAGTGGGTCACAGCCCAGCCCGCCAGTGTGTGCTTCTAAGAAGAAGAGAAAAAAATCGAAGCCATCCGCCGAACAGACGGACGTTGGGCCTGCTAGTAAGGTCCCTCACCTCACCTTACCTCACCGTACCAGACCCTGCCGTATCTACCGTTCCTACCCAAACACTCGTTTCCTACATAACCCTCTCACGACCGGGGATACGAAATTTGGGGGCATGGGACTGGAGACGGCAAGGATCTGGCAGCCAGCCGGTGGAAGATTCATCGAAGATTCGATACAGTTGTCTCGCCATGAGCAAGGTAAGGCAAGGTAAGGCAAGGCCACCAGAAACAAAACGGGCTGGGCGTGGGAGGGGGGAGGGGAGGTTTCGTGGTGGTGGTGGTGGAGGGGTGGAGGGGGTGTGGTGGGGTGGAAAGAGAATCGAGCGCTGGGAGACCGTCCAGCCAAACCAACCCCTCGTTCCCTAGATCTGATTGGCCCCAAACCCCAGACCCAGGACATTTCCGACGCTGCGGTTCGCGCCCTCTTCTTCTTCTTTCATGTCATTCTAGCCAGCCGTGCTGACACGCAAACCTAACATCAGCAGCAGCAGCACCACTACCGGCACCGACACCACAATACCACCACCACGACGCCCACCACGACCACCACGACCACCACGATTACCAACACCAATATCAACACCACCAGACCATCACGGCCACCACGACCACTGGTTACAACCGCACACCGACGATACCCAGCTCCACATACAATGGCACATGTCGCATAGAGTAAAGGTACGAACGGAGAAGCGCAAAGCAAAGCAGAGCAGAGTTGCAGAGCACGTTGCTCTACAACAGCTCCATATTCCGAAATAGGCAAAAATATCACCACGCCGGAACCGCCTTGCTGCACCCATCAACTACTGCTGCCTGCAAGCTCGTCCGTAAACAACACCACACGTGTGTGGCCAGCGGAGGCCGAACAGATGTCGCCAACCGCCCGACAAAACGCCGCGCACGCCGCCGCCGAGGCCAGTACGAAACTACCATACACACAAGGCTATAGGTACTTGGGTACGTAAGCACACACTTACTTACTTGAACCCGAGTCCTTACTTGGCTACGGGATGACTGGGACGGGTAATCCGAAACGCGCATGGCCTGGCGCTGTCGGGTTGAAGAATAGAGAAGGGGGCAGCAGCAGAAGCAGCAGAAGCAGCAGCGGCGGCGGCAGAGAGAGAGAGAGAGATCTCGGTGCGTGCAGATTATCATATGTACGCGATGTATGTCGACAAGGACTCTGATAACGTATCTTGCTTCCTCCGGTGATTGCAAACAACGTGGCAGTCTCGATAGAGTACATGATTGACTGATACGGGTACATTTCGCGCAAGCTTCGCACGGAGAGCGGGTAGGAAGGGTTTGTACTTACTTGGGTGGTATGTTAGCAGGGAGCGAGAGTGCGAGGGGTTCGTTGCGTGCACCTGTATTTACTTATTATAAGGTGGCTTTTCCATCGATCCGCGTCGAGTCCTGAGATCGAGACGACCGCCGAGTGCAGCAGCCTTGGACCGAACCCTTGGGGATTGTTGCAGGTGTTGCAGGTGTCGCAGCTGCCTCCAACTCCACCTCCACCACTTCCTCCACCACCACCACCAACACCACGTCCTCCTCCTACTTGTCGCCGCTGCCTGCCTCTCTCTCACTACCGTCCATCACATCATCACATCACAAAAGTCGAATAAGTTTTTCCGGAGCGAGCGAGCGGGCGCCCGCGCGACACTCTACTTGCTGGGGTGCGGAGGGGGGAGGGGCATGCTCTGGTTTGGTTTGGTTTGGTTTGGTTTGGTTTGGTTTGGTTTGGTTTGGTTTGGTTTGGTTTGGTTTGGTTTGGTTTGGTTTGGTCTGGCTGGCTGGCTGGCTGGCAGTGGCTCTGTCGGTCCGTCCGTCTTCGGCGCATGTTGCAGTTCCGCTTGCTTGGGATGTGATGGGATGTGATGGGATGTGATGGGATGTGATGGGATGTGGATGAACTCTTGGTCCGTCTCTCGTCAGATGTGCTTGTCGTCGTCTCTGTCGGCGGCGTTGTTGTCGCCGTCGTTTCTGGTGGGCCTTGGGGTTGGGCGTGGTTCGACACACGATACCTATCATGCTGGTCGGTCGGCTGCTTGCTTTCCCCCTGCACACATAACTGACACCTCTTATTATCATCCTAGCAACGCCGCAGTATCCGCGCGAAACCCCATCCCCCCCCCCCCCTCCTCCCACCCCCGATTAATTGATTCGTGATGGTCCAGTCTTTTCTACATATCCCGTACCGCAATCGAATCGTCCGTCGCTCGGTCGGTCGGTCGGCATTGACACACATGTGCGCGCGCGTCTGGATTGATGGCGGATTAGGATGGGGCCGAAGTGCATCGCACCCTTCCCAGATCACCTCACCTCAGCGAGACTGTGGGCAGGCGATGCTCATGGCCGTCGGTCTGCACACGGATGGTGTGTGGTGGCGGTGTTAGTTGTGGTGGTGGTGGTGGTAGTGGTGGTGGTGGTGGTGGTGGCGGCGATGGTGGTGGTGTCCCTCACTCTCCATCCATCGATCCATCCATCCGTTCCTCCAGCAGCCAGTCAGCCCTTATGCAGGGTCCACACCGCGCTCGCGCCGCCAGCGCCCAGCCGGTCGAAACTTTGCTTTGCCTTGCCTACCCGCGGCTCCGGCCGTGGGAGATACACAACACTGCAAACCAAACTCAAACCCAAACCCGAGAAAGATTTTTGAGATAATGACTGTATGGATGTGCAGACGGCGTATGGGGGCCGGCTCGGATGCTATGTTTAATCGACAACACATCGACACACAGACAGACATACGCCCCCTCCCCCTTCGCTATCTACCGTACCTACTCCACTCCACTCTACTCTACGATCCTTCATCTGCATGTAGGTATGAGAACAATGGCTCGGGCGTGTTTGCAATCGTCAAATTGCTCGGGTAGGCAGTCCCATGCCTACATTGTATTGTACACTCGCGATTGTTCGGTTGTAATACTTGTATTTATCATCATCCAGCCAGGCAGGCAGGTAGCTTTTAGGACGCCGCCGAGCACGCCGCCGCAGCTGGGCACCCGGAATATCGCTGGGGTCGGCGTGGTCGTGGTTGGGAACTGGTTGGGAACTGGGGGCGGAGGGGGAGGGGGGGGAGGGGGAGGGGGAGGGGGAGGGGCGCGAGTAAACATTATACTTTACTCTACTTTACCATACTCTAGATCCGCTTTCAAGGATATGATATGATGTATCCATCAATCAATCAATCAATCACTCTACTACCCATACTACCCATACTCTAGACCTGGGGTATCTGCTCTGCTCTGCATACTTGCTTAGGTAGTACGCAGTACACACATACATGAAGTATGTATGTTACATGTATGTATGCACGATTCACGAGCGTGCGAGCAAGTGTTTTCTTTTTGCGCGCGTCGAGCGAGCGTGCGAAAGAAGGTCACAGATTGCTACCTAGTAACCTAGTATGTACTGTACATACCGTAACTGGTAGCAATGCCGATCACTATCGTGGACCGTGGTCATGGTGGTCGCCAGGAAGTGGGTTGGGTTGGTGATCCCCGCTGGTAGGCATGTAGGGGCAGTGGGCAGATCTACTTTTGGGACCTCTTCTGTTGCTACCTAACTGTCTACTTTGTTAGAGTAGGTGGAGTACTACTACTCTACGCGACGTGTAGGAGGATTTCTATCTATGGTATTCTGGGATTCTGGGATTCCCGCCGCGAATCCTACTGACTGACTGACTGACTGACTACATACATACGACTTCCGCTCACTACATACCATCCTACATACCGCACTCCTGCCGTGATCCCACCGTGCTCCACATGTAGGGTACGGTGTGTGCGTGTCTGTGTGTGTCTGTGTGTGGCTATGAAGCTCTGTATCTAACTATACCCAAGTACGGTATGCAGTGTAGATAGTGTACATGCACATGACCGCCTGTCTGCCCGTCTGGACTCTGGCATTGTGGATTCTACATATTGTACATATCATACATACGAGCAGAATTCCACGCAGTGCACCCAGCGACCAGGGCTCGGAATCGGTCGTGAGGTGGGGTGAGGCGAGGCGAGGCGAGGCGAGAGACGAGACGAGACGAAAAGGGACGAGCCTTGTCGCAGTCAGAGTCAGCGAGCCAACAGACGACCGGCCACGAGTATGTAAGAGGTAAGAGGTGGAGTAAGCAAAGTAGGTAGTCTTCCCCTCCCATCCAGTGCACTGGGTCCGAGTTGGAGGCGATCTATCTATATCCATATCTATACATACATTCTTTGTTCGCACGTTCGTTCGCCTCACCGTGTCTGGTCAGTGGTGAGTTTTTGGGGTTTCAGTATGAAGTGTGAAGTGGTTCGCACCCCTGGGGGTTGGGTTGGGTTGGGTTGGCCTGGCCTGGCAGCCTGGCCTGGCCACGTATGCCGGTTCGTGTTCTGTTCGTGTTCTGTTCTGATACAAGGCACAAGACAGGAGACACAAGGCTGAGGGCTGTGCATTGCACACACGCTGCACACACACAAACTGCACACACACAGAGAAACGTGTATGGTATGGTACCTGAGGCTGGGCTAGCCTGCTAGGCGGGCAACAACACCACTTCTTCTTCGTCTTCTTCTTCTGCTTCTTCTTCTTCGTCTTCACCCATGATCCTCGGATCCTCTACGGCTGCAGGTCACGTATCTAGGATTCTAGGTAGTCAAGTCGTGAGCAAGCGCAGCAAGACCTTGCCTATGCTATCGCCCTTGCCATTGCCCTTGCTCTCATGTATCGTACATGCGCACAGCCCTTTGCTCTGCTCTGCTTTGCCTTTGCTTTTGCTTCCACATACACACGCCGTTTGTACTGTACTTACAGATGTACAAAAGCACTGCACAGCACCGGCCTGCACCGGCCTGCACCGGACCCGAGACTCAACTCCCTTCGACTCCCTTCGACTTCCGGAGTTGGCATGTTCTACCCTACCTACCCACATCCTACCTACGGTACGGTACCTCAGCCTGCCCTGCCCTGTGCTGTGCTGTGCTGTGATGTGCTGTGCTGTGCGCAACACCCTTGCCCCCTCCCCGGAATCTCTGTGTGAGTGTGTAGAGTAGCGGCCTGCGGCGCACTGGTATTTGGAAGGATCCGCGCCGCAGGTTGCGGACTTGGGGTAGCGGGCTGGAGTTTGAGGTAAGCGGGCTTGAGGTATGTAGAGTATGCGGGCTCGAGGTATGTAGAGTATGCGGGCTCGAGGTACACGGTTTGTACACGGTATGTGCACGGTATGTAGAGTACACCGCAGTACGCTTTGACTCTAGATATGTACTCTAGATGGATACGCTGGATACTCAGGAGTCTGGATACTCGACATGACTCTACATGACACTGTCACATTGTGCGCGAGTGGGCGGCGGACTCTATGTACAGTGTATGTACATACACACAGCAAGCAAGCCTACACAACCCCAGTCCGAGACGGCCTATCTGGCACCTCCTCGGGCGAGCTCTCTCGGCCATGATCAGATTCGATTCCGATTCGATCGTCTACCGACCGAGTCACCGACCGACTGACTGACTGACTGACAGTCCGCATACCATAGTCCGATAGTCCGCAGTCCGCAGTCCGCAGTCCGCAGTCCGTACAGTCCAACAGCTAACAGTCCAACAGTCAACAGTCCGCAACAGCAACAGGCGAACCTACACTAGGTACAGTATGGTAGTTGGAGTACGTCCACTGTCTGCCTCTTCCCGTAAAGACGTGAGACGTGTGGAGTGAGGCGTGAGACGGACAGACATTCAGACGGAGAGACAGACGGACAGACTGACTGACTGACAGACCACCAGACCACCAGACAATTGTCCGTCAGAAGTTGGCAGTTGACTGGATACCTGCTCATCCGCCCTTCCCTTCTGCCCTTCCCATCCCTTCCCTTCCGTTCATTCGCAGCCCATCGTAACACGGCGAAATCTCGCGTATCAAGCCATCCCAACCGTTGGTTGGTTGGTTGGTTGGCACTTGCGAGCCCGTCCGTACTCATCTATCCATCCATCCATCCATCCATCTGCGTGCTCCCGCCGTTGCGTTGCGTTGCGGGTTTTGTGCAGCGCAATTCGCCCATTACCTACTGCATTGCCATGTGAGAATACTCTACCTATGCGCTGCCTGCCCGAGAACACCACCGGTCCACCGCCGCCGCCAGTCTCGACCCTCCAGATATGAGTGATGGTGGTGATGTCTATGGCGATGGTGATGGTGGATCGTGATGGGCACAGCATAGGCATAGGCATAGGCAGAAGCCAAAGCAGCACAAGCAGCAGAAGCGGACCCCAAGCAGCAGCAGAAGCAGAAGCATATCAGACGTACATACAGGCAGCTTTCAGCTTTTTTTTTGATTTTTGATATCGCATCGTGTCCTGTCCTGTCGTGTCGTGTCGTGTCGTGTCGTGTGTTTTTAGCTCTGTTATTTTACTGTCGCTGCCGCGCTGCTGCTGCTCTGCTGCTGATGGTGCTGCGGATTCAATTCGAGGTCAGCTGGCTCCAGGCATGGCATGGCATGGTCGGTGCTCACACACACAGACACACATGGCTTGGAGGGGGGGCCGTTGCAACCCACCCACCTAACTGGCACCCAACGGTCTCAACCCACCAAACCGTGAACGGACAACGACTACGACTGCGACAACGGAACGGCCAGAACCGTCAGAACGGTTAGAAATGCACCTTGTGAGTGAGTGAGTGAGTGAGTGAGTGAGTGGAAGCCGCCGGAACCTGCAAGTCCGGAAGCCTTTCTATGTTGCACATACACAGGTGAAATGAAGGTGAAGTGAAGCGAAGGCGAAGCAACATGAAGTGAAGTGCACGATGTGATGTGATATGATACGCGTGTTGTTTGTGCACTCGCCCTTCTCGATCTACCTCCCTCCCTCCCCCCCCCCCCCCCCCCGCCAGCTGGGCCTCCCTCCGCCTTCCCTAGTACTGAGTACCGTACCGTGCCGTATGCAATCCATCCGACGGATTTAAACAGCTGGCTGATCGTGTTTGCTCCGGAGTCCGCAGAGTACGGATATACCGTAGTTACATACCTGGCTAGGTGAGTAGCGTACGGCGGGGATGTAGATTGCTGTGACCCACCTACCTACGCATCCTCCTCCTCCGCAAGTACCACCACTGTAGAGTAGTACCAGGCTGTGCGCGGTTGTGTCGCCGTCGCCGCCGCGTCGCCTACTCCGACCCCGGCGACGACGCGGTCCCTGAGTCAACCCGACACGACGCGATGCGCACAGAAATACCGGTAACTATCGAAGAGAGAAGGAGGAGGAGGTAGAGTACTCTATGATGTGTAGGAGGAGACATCAATAGTCAATAATAGTAACAACCTGCACAGCTCGCGAGGGCTCGCAAGGGAGGGAGACAAAAGACAAGCGCGGTAACCCGGGCCCCGGACCTCCCCCCCACAGCTCTTTGGGGCTTACCTTGCCCTGCCAGGCTGCCCTGCCCTGACTGTCCTTGTGTTTCGGCTAGCATCCACGAGGAAGGGGGGAGGGAGGGGAGGGTATGTAAGCCTCAGGTTCCAGGTATGATATGTAGAGTATCTATCTCGATTCTCGGGCTCGCATGGTACCCGGGACGAACGGATCAGAAGAACAGAACAGAACAGAGACAGAACAGAGACAGCAACCAGCATCAGCACCAACACCAGCACCAGCACCAGCACCAGCACCCGCACCCGCATACAGGGCAAGGCGTGCGGTACCTGGTAAACTGTATGGTGATCTTGCTATGCTCAGCAACGCGGCGATCGGTACGGTAAAGTGACAAGTCTATTGTGAGTGTTGGCATCAGTGATTACTCTACACATAGTGCTTCCCTGGTGCCTGGGGCCTGGATGTATGGGGTATAATCACCGCCGCCGCCGTTGTCGTCGTCGTCAGCCCAAGGACCAAGGTTGAAGTCCCGGGCACGGCCCCACGGGGCGACGGGCGACGGGCGACAAGGGCGGGCCGTTCTACCCAGCAGTGTTGCTTGTAGCTGGGGGCGGCGGAGCGCGATACTACTCTGGTAGGTATACCGATTCGGCCTCAACTCGGATCCGAGACGGCGTCGACTTCCACATATGTAACCCTCTCAACCCTCCTCGGGGTCCGGCCGGGGGAGGGGGGGGACAATACCTAATGCACGCAATGCAATCAGCATGAGCATGAGCATGAGCATGAGCATGAGCACCAGCACCAGCATCAGCATCAGGACCAACAACGCCGAACCCTCACCCTCACCTCACCCTCGCCCATGTCGAGTAGTTCTGGGACCTTTTTCTCGGCACGGTCAAGTTCCCCCGTTCGGACATACGCTTAGTTAGCGCTAGTTAGCTCTAGCGCTACCCCACATTTTCCGCAAACCTGACGTACGCCAGACTCCAGTTGGTAGTGTGGGGCCAGACTGGGTTGGGTTTCATACAGAGATCAATTATTGGAATTTTTATGGCTCCTGCTATGTATGTGGACTCGCGTTCCGTCCGGGGTGGCCGGACGCGGGGGACGGGGGATGGGGGATGGGGGATGGGAGAGGGGAGAGGCCGACAAGAAAAATCCAATCCAATCCAATTTAATTCCCTACCTGAGTACTCTACTCTACGGCACTCTGCTCTCAGAAGAGGCAGCATTTAGCCCTCTCCGGCAGGCCAGAGCCAGCTGCCAGCCAGCCATCCCCATTTATTGTTTTTGTTTTTATTCCTATACCTCGATGTACGGAGATGTATGTGCCTCGCACCGTATGTAGCAGGCAGGCAGGGAGGGAGGCAAGCAGGCAGGCAGGCGCAAGGTTTCCCCAGATTTCTGGTCTCGCTCCCTCCCTCGCTCGCGCGCCGGTCATCCATCCTGTCCCGTCTAAGGAGGTAGATGGATGGGTCCACAGGCAGTTTTCGCGTCGCCGACGAACGAACGAACGGATGAACAGACGAACGGACGAACGAATGCTCGCTCGCTGCCTGCGGCCTGCCTGCCTGCCTGCCTGCCTGCCTGCCTGCGGCGGTCCTGCGGACACAGATCTTCCCGCTCTCCCTTCCCTTCCCTCCCTCCCTCCCTCCCTCCATCCCTCCCTCCCTCCCTCCCGACCGGGAGGGGAGCGTGCCGCGACAACTGATTGAGGGGATGACGGGATGACTCGATGAGGGATCAGTAATGTCCGTTGTTCCTCGGTGAGTTATATAACTACGCCCTGTCTGTCTGTCTGTCAGTCAGTCAGTCAACGGAGTAGTGCAATACACTGCTAGGTAGGTCAGTGTTCATCATTAGACATGAGGTAAGCAAAAACGCCACCCGGTGCGTACATACAGACCAGTGTAGCAGTCGATCCGACACTGGACGAGCGGCGCTCAACTGTTGAGCCGCCGCCGCCGGGGCACGGCTGCGTACCTAGTTGGCTGCGCATCATCATTTAGTGCTGAAGTGCTATTGCTGAAGTGCTGCAGTGCTGAATGTAAAGTAGAGTGGGTAGGCACGATGGGTACTACTCATCATGAGACTTTTCGCACTCAATGGCCAGACCACCACCCACCACCACCCACCACTACCACCACCACCACCACTTCAATGAATGCTCGGGAATCGGGAGCGACGGCGGACAGGCAGACATTGGCAGACAGGCGGATATTGGCAGACAGGCAGACATAGCCCGACACAGCCAGCCAGACAGGCAGACAAGGACAGGCAGGCAGGCAGCAATTGATTTCATTCCGTTCCGTTCGCGGTCAACGCGATAGTGGTAGGTAACTATATCTATCAGTTAGGTGAGGTGAGATGTGTAACGGACCACAGCCGTCCAGAGTACCTGAACAACTTTTCTCTTTCTCTCTCTTTTCTTTTCTTTTCTTTTTCCTTCTTTGCGCTGCGCTGCGTGAGATTGACTGATCGAGGCGGGGGAGGGGCAAGGGGAGGGGGAACGAGGATTTCAATTCGGACTGCCAATTCTAACTCACAAGTTACAGTTTACAACAGAACTATGGAGTAATATAGAGAACGGAACGGATCGTTCAGGTCAATTCAATTCAATTCAGCTGTCATGTCCACCTGCCCGCCCCGCCCGCCTTCCGCCTTCTGCCGTCCGCCATCGCCGTCCGCCATCGCCGTCCGCCATCGCCGTCCGCCAGCGCAGTCCGCTCGTTCGTTCGTGAAGAATTATGAAATTGCGGGGTACATACGCACAGTAACTACTTGCCTCCCGATTGCTGGTAGTTATGTAAGTAGATTCTGCTGGAGGACTTTCATGTCGCTGCTATGCTATGCTATGCAACGCAACGTAACGCAACGAAATGCAATGCATACGGTATATAGTAATGCATAGTATTGCGTATGATACCTACCAGTAGCATATGTGTGTATACCTGCCAGCCAGCCAGCGGCCAGCCACAACGTACAGTACTCCGCCTAGAGCACGTCCGCCTCACTGGCCTAGCCTGGCCTGGCCTGGCCAGGCGGCGGCGTTCGGATACATAATACATAGGGTCGCGTGAACGGTGAGGACGATTCTCGTCCGGCCAGCCGCACGCGGGGAGAGTATGTATGTACAGTACACAGAAGTCGCAATCGATTGGTCCGCCCGCCGCTCGCTGCTACGGCGTATGTACGGGACCTATATCCAGACGTAAGTTATTAGGCACTTTCTCCCCCCACTGCCGTAGTTACAGCGGACAGCGGAACGTGCGTGATGGTGCGTGGTAGGTATCATGATTCATAGGTAGGTAGATGGGCTGCTGTCTGTTTGTGTATAGTAGAGTAAAGTATCATGCCCTTTGAATGTCTGCCTGCCTGTGTGTATGTGTGTATGTGTGTGTGATATGCTTGTATGTATGTAGGGTATGGTATCCGCCACTCTATGTATGTACCAACTATCCTCTGGCGAAGTTTAACCTGCCTACATATTTCTTGTGAACGTATGCACAATACATACTCTACAGCAGCTCAGCTGTGGCCGCGTTCGAGTCGAGTTGGTCCACCGTCCGTCCACGTGCACTGTGCACGGTGCACCGGACGAGCGATATAGCATAGGACTCAGGAGATACCGGTATGTACCGTATGTCTATATGCCTATGGATATGATGCTGACTTACATACTTGCCTGAGATTCCAGCAGCTTTGCCTGGGTGAGTTTGTATGTGCCGTACAGTGTATTGTACACTCTGCCCAACCAAGAAAACAAAAAGGAAAGTTGAAACAACTATCAACTATTGGGAGCGGCAGCGGAGTCACAGAGCTCGAGCAGAGTGGGAAGACCGAAGCAAGCAATCAAGCTCTCAAGAAAGCAAGCAAGCGGACCGCCCTATGTGTTTCTTTTCTTTTTCGTCGCTCTTAGATACTGCACCTATGATACCAGCTCGATCAACATCTATTCCCCGTAGTTAGCTCCGACGTCCGTTTTTCGCGACTACCTATGCTGAGCCGCTGGCGGCCACAGACCCGTCACCTGGAAGGCGAGGCGAGACAGCACCACAGCACCACAGCGAGAAGAAAAAGAAAAAAGAGACAACAGTTATCGTCTCGTCATGAGGAGGTACCGTAGTGATGGAAAGAGGGGCACTCCGAGACATCGCCAGCTCAGCTCAGCTTAGATCAAACTAGATCAGTTCCGCGAGGGGTTCAATGGCAGGTCAATGGCAGTCCTTAGCCCGCAGCCCGCCGGATCAGTCCGTTTTCTCGCCGCTCCCCGCCCTGGTTTCAGCCGCCGAAGTTCACGCTGTGACCGGGAGAGCGAGCGAGCGAGCAGTGAGGTGAGCGGGACCCATGGCCGCTGACTGACTGCCGAAGCCGGCGCTTTGACCACATCACCCCCTCCCCCCTCCCCCTTCCCCCCCGCACTCGATCAAAAACCCTTCGGTTGGGTTTCCCGCTTTGTTTTTTTATTGCTTTTCTGGAGGGGTTTCTTTTTCTTTTTCTTTTTCTTTCCTTTTTTCGGTTGCGGTTTTCTTTTCTTTTCTTCTCTTTTGTATGATATGTGGAGCACGAAGCACGAAGCACGAAGCCAAAAGGCAGTCAGTCGCAATGACGACATGACATGACCCGATCCAAACAGTGAGTGAGTGAGTGAGTGAGTGAGTTTGGAGGGTTCCTGGGTTCTAGGGTTCGTCGGTGCTGGATGGATGTGGATGGATGGACTCTGGAGACTCGAGACTCGAGAGGTGGACCGTGGACCGTGGACCGTGGACCGTGGACCGACCGTGTCTGCCCTGCGGGGGTTCGTCCCGCCCTGCAACCGCGGATACAGCAACCGGACAGACAGGCAGAGGACAGAAAGTTAACTTCGAGCAACAGCAGCACCAACACAACAGCTCTTCCCGGTAACTCACTACCTCCCTAGGGGGAGAATGCAGGAATCAATTTTTTGTAGCCGCATCCCATGTAACCTGTAGGCGGGGGTTTCCCCCTCCCCCGTCCTCCCTCCCCCTTTGGGGGGGGGGGGGGGGGGGGCTACCCTATACGATCTCTCCATATCGATCTTGAGACACAATTTCCGCAGGCAGTGGCTGCCGGTCGATTCACCACTCTACTCTTCTACTCTTCTACTCTCTCACTACTCTACTATCTAGCCCCCCCCGTCTATCCGTCCCCAGCAGCAGCAGCAGCGCTCGACCGTACGCGACGATGATTGGCCCGGCACGTACTTCCACAGCTCGCGCCCCATCAACTTTCAAGTCGAGTGTGTGCTTCGCAGCTCGCAGCTTCCATCCGGGCAGGCGGGCGCGCTGGAGAAAAATACCTACACACACACACATACCTGGAGTACCTGCTCAGACACATAATCGAAATTTCGATAGATATGCGAAGCAAAATGCGATCCCGCGTGCGTGCGGTGATCACTGATTGACACTGGTCAGTGGACACATGCCGCCGCCGCCAGCGTCGTCGTCGTCCTCGTCGCTTTCGGGCGCCCCGGCTGCTTGGGACCTACACTACCTACCTCCCTTCCTATGTACCTACCGGCCATGAAAGGGGATGGAGGGATGGAGGGAGGGAGGGAGGGGAGGAGATCGCAAACTGGAAATTGGTGGGTGAGTAGTGAAAAGCTGGCCATGGATATGGATGCGCATCTGGTATCTATCCACTCTACATACATACATACAAGGGGTGGTAGGGGGAGGGACTAAAACATCGGATTCGCATGATCCAAGTTGTCAAATTCGATTCCTGAGGGCCTCTGATCTTCACGCGATTGTCCTCTTGCGGCTGGTAGAGTACATAGTGAAGGCCATCCATGCCCATGTCCATTGCCCATGCCCATGCCCCGCGATGGATAGCCGTATGTAGATCCCGTTTGAAGAATATACACCCGGGGATGAGTACGGTACTCAGTAGATGCTCTTGGACCTAGGTACCTGGTATTTTGTACCCATGAATAGCAGTTCGTCGAGCAGATACCGTAGGTCCGTAGGTACTCTAGCTATGTACATTGTAGTATGTACCCATGAATAGCAGTTGTCAAGCATCGGGAAGTTCTTTCTCCGACAACCACCTACCTTGCTAATTGGGGATGCCGATTACGCAGCGGCTGTCGCGATAAAACCTCCGACGAGGAGGAGGAGGAATGTCTTGTGCCGTCTTGTGCCGTGCCATGCTATGCTGTGTTGTGAAGTGCTGTGCAGTCACCAGTGTTGTGCAGTGTTGGGGCACTTTTCCCATGGGCATAGTTACCGGTACAAGTGTACTAGATACTGCACGTAGCAATGTGTAGACTCACTCAACCAACGATGCACTTCGCAAGCTTCAGTGGATTGCGTCAGGGAAAGGTAAAAGCTGGAGCCGCTGGAGGTGAAAGCCTGAGGGAGAAGGGAGAACGGTACTCAGGTTAACTAGCGTCAGATTTTTACATCCGACACCGATACGGACACCGACACATGACAAGTCAAGTCAAGTTCCCACTCACTCACTCCCAACGCGTCTCCCTCATAGCACTTGACGGCGGCGGCGGGGGCCAAAGATACGTAAAGGTATCCCGTGGTGTTGTGCGTTCGACGACGACCCTCACGAACTAAAGAACGAACGAACGAACGAACGAGTTGGATGCTGCATGATCGCTGTGTGTGTGTGGGTCCGTGTCTGTGGTGTCGTCGATCAGTAGAGAGCCAGCGGAAGAAGCCATCCAACCACCATATCGTTTGGGTTTCTCCACAGCTCCCTAGGTAAGAGGTATTCACCCATCTGTCTGTCTGTCTGTCTGGCCAGTCACCAGTGTCCGCCCATCTTTCCTGTAGAGCTCTTACATAGACGGTGATCGCAAAGACTACGCTTACCACTCTAGGCATCATACTCGGTTCAGTTGCTTTCCTTAAACTGCTTTTTTTTCCTGGGGTTTTTTTTTTGCTTTCTTTCGTTCTTTCTTTCTTTCTTCCTCACGAGTTTTGTTTTTTCCTCTCGGGTATCAGAAGTCAGACTGCTTGGTGAATCTTGATTTTGCAAGGGTTCTCACCCCGTCCCTCCCCTCGTCCCTCCCTCGCCCACCCGCCCACCCACTCACTAACTTACCCCTTCCCACCATCCTCATCACCATCCCGAACTGGGGAATTGATCGTCGGCTCCTCAGCTCCGAGCGAGGGACCGGGACTCGGGAGGAGATGAAGTGTGAAGTGTGAGTGAGTGTGGTGGTTGTTGTTGTGAGCCAGCCAGCCAGCCAGCTGCGTGTGTGTATGGGGCGGGGAGGTATGACCTCGACTGTTTGCAAGAGTCAGGAGTCGGGGACCCACCCCGTGGCCCGTGGCCAGGAAAGTACTAGGAAGTACCGTATGTGAGGGCTCACGTCCCAGGCCCGCCTGCCCCGATTTATCCCTTCACATTGTAGGATGGGGCGGCGCCGCGGACCTGGAGGCTGGCACCAAGGTCCACACATACGGGTACATACACATGTTCATTGGATATCACTCGGTGGGACAAGACAAGACAAGACAAGACAGGGGAACCGACATCACGATCCTCCCCTTCCCCCCTGTGATTGGGGCTTCCTGGATGGCTTGCGGTGATGCTATGTAGCTATGGGCTCTGGACGAGGTACGTACACTACACTTGGTATATACCGGTGTGAGCACCGATGGCCCAGGGGACGTTCGAAGAGCCCTGTTTTTTCGCGGTGCAACTCGTAGGTTACTAGGCGGTGCGGGCAAGCAAATGTCTACCACCTAGGAAATACGTGCCGAGCACCTGGTACTGGTCCATACCGGACCGACCGAAGGTTGTACAGGCCTGGAGGTGGAGGTGGAGGCGGTGGACCGCCCACAGTGATGCGTCTCATGGAGGATGGCCGCCAGAGTATGTAAAATGGGAGCTTTGGGTGAAGAAGGTTTCCGGTGAGATGGGCGTACCTCCACCACGACTCTCGACGGTAGATAGTATAGGTACATATGATACATAGCCCCTTACCTCAGACTGACCTCAGACATCGACATCTCCACCGTACATACCCAAGCACGCCACTGGAACTTTCCCTCGGGCCTGAAAGCCTGAAAGCCTGAAACAGATCCAGATCCAGATCCAGCAGCGCGGGACGCCGGGACAGAGCAGATACGGGACCCGGACCCTTCTCCTGCTCCTGCTCCGGCCCCCATCCAGCCATCCATGATCCATCCATCCATCCACCGATCCAGCCAGCCGGTCAAGTCAAGACAAGACAAGACACATCAACGTCGCCGAGAACGCCAGTCAGCACCACCACCACCACCACCACCACTCTACATACATACCGTCGCACGGTGTCACTGACGCGTCTGCAGCAGTAGGCATGTAGGTAGATAAGGGACCCTGGACGGCCATGTCTGGGTATAACTGGCGGATCGCAACTCGCTTGACGCGCCACTGGGACCACCGGGCTAGGCTCCAGGCTCCACTGTCCAGCGAGCCGGTCGAATTAGCGCCAGAGCCGGAACGCTGGGACTCGGGAGTTCCGGGAGTTCCGGGAGTTCCGAGGCGATTATTCCGGTGCGGATCGCGATGGCTTGCACCTAGGTATCGCTTGGCTTGAGCTCCGCATCGGACGGAATGGGGTGCGATGGGATGGGATGGGATGGGATGCCATGGAGCCGGTGTGGAGTTACATATCCATCTAGTATGTACTAAATATCTATACATGGCCATCGCAGCACTGTAAAGTAGTATCTACCTGACCTACATATTCACCGGAGAGACATGTTGCGTTTGCGTAGCGCCCCCCGGGGTTTCGAGTCGTCGGACAGCGCCCGTCCTTCCCTCCCTCTCCGTCGGTGCGAACAGCCATCCAGTGGGGGGTTGCACGGCGCCGCGTTAGGGTTTGGGTTTCGGTTTGGGTTGACGTGACGGCAGCCGCTTTCCGACACTACGCGAATTCCAGGTACCGGCCGTAGGTATCTACGTCACGCTTTTTGCGGGAAGTCTATCGATGTGGAGTACATAGAGTACTCTACTGGTAGATGCCGGGTACTTATCATAGGTACTCTACCCCTTCCTTGGAAGGCCTTTGACGGCTCTCTCCCAGGGGGTGGTGGTGGTGGTGGTGGTGGTGGTGGTGGTGTTGCATTGTTGCATCCATAGGGATGCGTGGGTTTGGGATGGGGTTTCTGGAATCTGCACCCTTACGTCTGCTATCGTGCTATGGCAATCGTAAATAGATACTTTGGCAGGCACTCGGCGGAGTTGCCGGCTGCATGTTGTGATGCATGTAGATACGGATGAAGGAAGATGCCGTGTATGTAGGTAGTAGGCAGTATGTACGTGCATAAGGACTTTATGTATGCACAGTACTTATTTCCGGAGCCGGCCTTCCATTCTCTCTTCGTCCTGCAGACGGGGGATGCGGTGCAGTGGGTATGTAGGCATTCGTGACTCAAATGGACTCGTAGGTAGGCAGTGGGCTGAAGCCGGTCTTCGCGGTCGCACTCTTGCAGTTGCAGTGCGCAGCGGAGGAACATTAGTTACCAGCATTCCTCGGAATGCCCGGCTGTCTGGATGCACAGAGTGCTATTCTGGCCAGCCCAGTGAGCACTCCGCTGTTCCGGCGCCGCAGTCGGAAGAGGGCGAAGCAAGCAAACAGAGCAAGTGTTTCCCCCGTCAAAGGCTCTGCAGGTAATCTAATGTATGTAGGAGGACGGCAGCAATACGGCAGCAACACGCAGACGCAGACATAAACGCAGACACAGGTCGTCGCGTCGGTTTATCATCAGCATCATCATTATCCACAGCAGCGGCAGCAGCAGCAGAATCATCATATTCATCATCATCATCATAATCGTAATCATAATCATTCATCATCATCATAATCAGCATCGTCATCGTCATGATCCTTGCACAACGCGGGTGGGTGGGGATGGGTGGGGATGCATGGCGTCGTCGTCAGCAACCAACCCCAACCCCAATCCAATCCAACCCAACCCAACCCAACCCAACCCAACCCGAAAAACAAAATCAAGAAGATGTGATGGGCCAGGGTTGGGGTTGGGGTTGGGTTGGGGTTGGGGTTGGGGTTGGTTGCATGCGTGGGGAAAGGGAAGGGAAGGGAAGGGAAGGGAAGGGAAGGGAAGGGGAAGGAAAGGGAATGGGGAAGGGGGGAGGGGGGGAAAGGGGGTGCTCCGCTTCGTTTCGTTTCGAGGCGGAGGAACCAAGTCACGGCTATGCATGTCCCGACGAGAGTGGAGGAGACTGTGACTCGCTCTGCCCCCGTCGGAGAAAACCTGGTTTCTGGTTGTGAACTCGATGTGCTGCGCGCTGGATGGGTGAGTTGGTTATGTCCCTCCCTACTTTACTGACTTTAGCTGTGGATTCTGCTACGCCATTTCAAGGCGGCATGGCGGGGGGGAGGGGGGGGGTGGGGGAAATCAATCGGGCATGCTAGGTTTTTGCTGCGTTAGATAAGGTTGACGTCTATTGACGTATTTTGTGTAACGGCGAGTTTCCAGTAGAGTGATCGGGGCTTAGCGTGCGCGTTGTGGGAGATGCGATGCGGCTCTGTGGCTTCGAGACGATCCGGGCCAATCACGATCCCGATCGCTGGCCGGCGTCGGAACCGATCGACACTTTAGACGAGTCTGTAGCGTACTGGTACATGACGGCGCTCTCACTCCTGCCGCAGAAATCCTCCGACGTCACGGGAAGTCCCCCCCCCTTTGAAACCATCGAATCAACCCTTGCAGGCGCCGTCTGAGATTTGGGACTGACCGTGGACTCGGTCGCGGACGGCCCGGGCTGTTACGCCTGCCGGTAACAAACTGGCTGTGCGCCTTTCCACGGTGGCTCCGGGCCCACACACTCATACGGGCTCGTCCCTTGCATGAGGTGCCCGCCCCAGAGTGCGGCCTGGGGAGCTCGACTCGAGCCCGGGGAACTGCGATCGCGATGGGATGCCCACCCAGCCATGGCAAGCCTTACTCTGTCTCTCTGTCTCTCTGTCTCTCTCTCACACACACACCCACCATCACACACACACTCACACACACACTCCCACTCAGACTCACTCACAGACTCACACTCACAATCACACTCACCCGACAACAATTGTAAGCCGCCAACCACTTGCCGTGCCGAGCGGGGGGGAGGGGAGCATGGGAATTTCCTGGCAGGATAAATTTCCTCCCCTTGCATATCTACATAGATCGCACTCAGACCTACCTAATTCATGGTTGTATCCGGTTCGATCGGTTGGGGATCAGAAACGCCCGAATACGACGCTATGTCCGGTGGCTTTTTTTTGCGGGCTTTTTCCCTCTCGCTAACTACTCCAACTAGGATACTCTGGAGCAGATCCAACCCCGTCCCCAAGTCGACTCGCCGGAGTGGCTGCGCGTGGGGGGAGGGGGATGGCGGGGGCCGTGTGTCCGGGGCTGCCGAGTGATTGCTGAATGTCGGCACGCATGCAAAGCTGCCTTCTCTACATACCTACTCTGGCTACGAGAAAACCGGGCAGGACACAGCACGCAGTTACGGGTACTCGCCTGGTAACTCTGCTCTACCTACCTACTCTGTACAGAACATTGCCCGCAGTACAGTACATACTATTATGTAGTATCTATGGCTTGCAGTTTTGGCCATGGGCACCGGATGCGGTCCAATCACTTGCGAACCATCTACGACCGTGCACCATGCACACTCACACTCCTCATGTGCTCGCAAACGGATCATTCAACAACTTCCCCCCCCCTCCCGATATATTTCTACCCAACTCATACATACGGTACATAATTAACCCAACAGTCCGGTACGGAAACTGCATGTTGGCACGTGAAATGTCCCTTCCCATGCATGTACGAGTGCTTGAGTTGGTGGTGGAGTCCTCCAAGTTCCAAAAAGCAAAAAGCAAAGCAAAAAAAACAAAAAAGAAGGAAACCCCACTTAAAACTTGCACTTTGCTGTTTTCATCCGTGGGATGGTATGTATACCGAGCTAATACTTTTTGCCGACATGGAGAGTACAGTACAGTACCTACAGCACTCTAGAGCAAGAGCGTATGTATGTACCGTAGCTGGCCGGCCGTCTGAGCACGGCAGATGTCGTCGTCGGGTGTCCCCCTTTGTTGAATTGAAACAGCTCAGCTCCTGAGGTCTGCCACTGAAAGGGGGAAACCGAACTGTGACCGAGCCCATCACCAAGGTCTGCCTCGACACCACCCGGTCACGTTGCCGTGTGTTCCCCTCAGTACTTGGCGGTTCACTAGCTGTGGGTAAGTAAGTAGGCAGGTATCCGCATCGACGTTGGGGCTTTAACATCCGTGCCATCCGTGAGTACTGAGCAATTGCAAGCCCCCTCCGTCGAGGGAGGGGGTGGGTGCAGGTGTTCAGGAGAGGAGAGGAGAGGTCAACATGATTTTGCCACGGCCAGAGACGGAGTAGGTACTTACGGTACCATAGATGCCGCTACGAACATCAATGATCAACCCATCCGTTTGGCGGATCCCACAGCAAAGAAACGAAGTACGAACCTCGAACGGGCAACACCGATGATCGTAGGAGTTGACTATCTGAACGGACTTACGGATATTGCCCTAGCGGATGGATGTGCACAATATATTTTTGGGGCATACATACTACCGGTATGTACGCCGTACGGTACTCCGTCGAGGAAAACGTGTACATACGGTATGTAATATAGCACCACTATCGATGCAGATACGCGAAATGATGCCGCCTGATCATGTTGTACCAGGCATAAATATAACGTCCGACACTACCGCCGCCGCTCATATGTATATCTGTTACATACCTCTGGAAGGTCACCACCACCACCACCGCCAATTGCGGCGGCGGCTGCTTTGAGAGTGCGAGTGCGACGTCGCAAAGGTCCAGCTGAGTGTTCTGGGAGCTGAACTGTTATCGTCTTCTAAGTTCTCCTCCCCTCCTACATACATACCTAACATGTTGGCCTCGTTCATAATCTGATAACGTACGCGTAGGAATCGGTTACCTGCATAATCCTGCACGCAATTTGCCCTCTGGTGTACCACCCTCCACACCCCTCCCAAGCATGTCCTCCCAGGAGCACCGGAAGATCCAGGACTTTTGAGTTCTGCCACTGCAGCGCGGACCGTTGCAGCCCTTTTGTGTACAGTGTACGGGAAGAGGAGGAAGATTCAGGAGGTGGCCAAGGGCTCGAGGGAAGGGGAGGATCACTCGACCTTCCGCCCATTCTTGGCGGATTCAACCAGCTCAGAGAATACGGTAGACGACTGCCTAGGTACACCGTACCTGAAGCTAGGGAGCTGGCCTGTTACGCAGATGTTGCTATCCGAACACATGGAACAAAGCCCAGTCAGTCATCGATGTTTGCCGCGGCTTTTGCTTTACTTTGCTTTGCTGGCGAACCACAACGTATGATACGTATGATACGTATGATATGTACAGTGTGCACTGTGCACGCACGCACGGCGGGTCCTGCTCCGTCCTGCTCCGTCCATCCATCCATCCATCCATCCATCCATCCGCCATGGCCGTGATCCTGGTTGGACGGAGGGCATTTCACATCCTTTTGGCTGCGGGCTGCGAGCTGGGGATGCCAGCCCGGACCACAGCTTCCCCCCACCCCAGGCTCCAGCGTGCGTAATGTTTGCGTTTACAACGCTGCAGTGTACCTGATACCCACCCTGGTAAATGTTGAACTTTTACACCACCACGTTGTTTTTTTGTCCTTCCTTCGACACCGTGAAACTCTCTTCTCCTCTGTGGGGATAGGGGATACACCAACAAGCGGACCTCCGAGCGGTCTAGACCCACAGCTCGTCCACAGAAGCGGGCGGACGCCTGGTTCGTGTGAACAGTCACCCGCCTTACACCCGTCCGTCTTAGTTGCTTCTGCATGCAATGATGCAAAACCCCACACACTATCCCTCTCTCTCGAGAAGAAAAAGAAGTCGAGCTCGGCAACTGTTGCCTGAGAATAAGCCCAACCAACCGTGACGAGAGGGGGGGAGGGGGAAGGGGGCATGGCCGGAACCGAGAATTCCTGTTGTATGTTAATGTATGTAGCTGGGTGGTCGTTTGTTTTCGCGATCGACGATGCTGCTCGCTCCGAGCTCGTCTAACTGACTAACTGGCTGCAGACAGCAGACGTGACGAAACACTTCCCTCCAGAGTTCCAGACTGAGAGGACCCGCATGACTGTTGCAACTTGCTGCTGCCTGAGACTGGGGACTGGGACTGAGACTGAGACTGAGACTGGGACCGGGGACTTGAATCGTTGGGGGGAGCTCTTCTTTGCTTGCTTCGGATGGTGTACATACATACCATCTTAGTACATATACGATTGGCCAATGGCCATAGTTATTAGGTACCGGAGCGGAAAAGAGTGCAAAGAGTTCAAAGTGGGCGCTTGACATTGTTGGAACTTGGAACTTGGTCGAATGTTCTGGGTCATGTTCAACCGTCAACGGCAAAGTCTTCTGCACTTGAGATGTTGCTTCTTCGTGCTAAACAAACGGGATATGAAATTGTGGAGTGTGTAGACAGTAGGACGGTTGCCCGAGAGCTCCCGTATGTTTGCGGAGTGAGGCGAAGATGGAAGAAAATATCGATAGGTGGTAGTGAGGTTCGTTTTGTTTCTTGTTTACAGTATTGTGTTGAGAGAGTCTGAAAGCCTCGAGAGAAGACAGAAAAAAGGGGTGGTAGGCGGCCAGTGCTTCGTGCCGTCATCACCGCGTAAGCGACCAAGCAACGAGTGAGATATTACAACAGGTAGATCATGGCTGGAATAGTGAGGTTCCTGCAAATGGCCAAGTTGAGAAGGCACTAGTCAGTAGACCCACTGTTACCGAGTGATCATCCATTGCCCCTCTAACTCTTCGCAGCTCCTCCTCACCACTCACCCACATCCTCACAACCGGTGTTCTTTTTGGCGTTTACTGTCCCGTGTCGAGAATGTCGACATGCCTTATCCCACCGTCTGCCTCTTCGGAGTGTCTATTCTCAGCGAGCGTTCATGCTGCAACATCCATCAGGTCGATCGGTTCTTCCTCTTCATACAGCATTGAAGACTCGCTGAGAGACATCGTCGGAACAGTCACCATTTACAACCGGGAGCAAACCGATCCCCAAACCCGCAGGAGTTCGACTCAAATGAGTTCGATCCAAATTGTTGAGCAGCAGAGATCAGACCCGTCTACCACAGCCACTGAGATCCCAACCATCGAAGAGCCGCCTCCTTCGTCCGCGGCTACTACTCCTCCTCCTCCCAGTCCGAAACCTCGACACACGGCCTCAGAGTTCCACCTTTGCGTCCGCGAACTCACAGAAGATGCTGGCAAAATGGTAACCGGCGGCCCACCAAGCCTGATCGGATTGTCACCACCGCAATCGTCAGCCGCTGCTGCTGCCGAAAAACACAACCCCCATGGCTTGCTCTCCACAATAATCGCGGCATGCGCGCTCAGGGACGACAAACGGGCGAAAACGAAAGGCAAAGAGAAGGAGCGGATTGAAATCGATGATTCCCCCGCCCGCGGCAGCTCCAGTAGGCTGCGCTCGAGAGGCTATAGACGCGCCGGAGGATTCGTCATGTCCTGGGCGAGGAGAGGCTCGATCCGTACAACGAACTTATCTGGTAGCACCCAGAGCGAGGACCTCCTGACAACGTCGACTTCGAAAGGCATCAGTGAGGAGACAGTGCCAGAAAACCCAGAGCCGCTCCGTACGATCAGCCCGTCGGATATGGTGAGGGTGACCTTCAGGAGTAGCTCAGGTGCTAAGAAAACCTGTTGGACTTCCTTGAATGCGGTTGATTCTTGGATGGTAAGTTACTGTCACTCTGTCGGCTTTGAGGGATCCCTGCTGATTGTGGACATCCCGCAGAAATTACTCGGGTTTATCAAATACGCTGGTATGCCGGAGATGTCACATGCAGAAACCTACATCAGGAATCTGGCCATTGAAGATTGGTCACACTCACCAGTCACGGAAGATAAATGGCCGCCAACCTCTGAAATGAGCTTCACTCAGGGCATTCACCTTCAAGTGTCCTCTAACCAGCTACCATCGAGACCTGGCAGGCTCTTCTCGGCATTCACAAGTAGAAAGCAGAAACTCTCAGCATTTGTTTCCGGGGTTTCGACGGATAAAAGGATCGGGAATTGGGTCAGGGACTCATCGGCAGCTCTAACGCAGGAAACACTCAGTGGAAATGCTGTTTTCAATATTGCTGCCTCCATTCCGCATAGACTACATCTAAGGATCAATATCAAGTTGCTGGACGATGCTCTTGTATTCTCTTACGCCGAGTGTTTGGCCGTACACGATGGCCCCGTATCGGATGATATTGTGCAAAATGTGTCCTGGAATATGGAGACTGGAGACTCCTGGGAGTTTGTTAATCCCGAGCCGTACAAGGTACTTGCGCGGGGCACAGAGACATCGGCTCCGCTTCTGAGTTCTAGACACGAGGCTCGGTACGGGCTGAGGCAGTTTGTCTGGGAGTCTGTGGGATATATGTTTGTTACGCTGGCAAAGTTCCGTGATGCGGTACGAGAGATTATGATGGGCCTTGGATTTCTGGAACCCAAGATCAATGTGAGTCTCGGAAGCGTTCATTCTGCCTGCTATATCTGACAATAATCCGTAGGAATACATTAATTACTGGTCGTCCAGATTAGACGACCCGAATGTCGAGTATGTCGAAATCATAGTCCTCTACCATCCTAGCATCATCCACGGCTCTTCGATAACTGTTGAAAAAGTCGAAGGTAATGATGTGGATTACGAAGTCGAGATCACTCGACTGCTTCTCGGCTTCCGTGCGCTTCAAGGAGACCCTGACCTGGAGGAAGTCTCAAGCATATCCCCCGCGGCGATGGTCCAGATCCGGAGGAATGCTACTCACAAATTCCATCTGTCGTCTCCTCATAGCACTACTGGAACGGTGGAGGCCGTCAAGATTTTCGAAGCCGGGGGGATGATAGTCAGCGACACAAAACCGGAACGGCATCGGATGAAGCAATCTGCCTCTAACGACCGTCGCTGCTCCGAAAACGATGAAACCACGTCTATCGGCTCGGTCTTTGAGGATCGATACTGGATCTGCTGCAATCCGCGGAACTACGAGTCGCACGGAAAGGTTGGCGTACCAATGACATTCGGCATCTGTGGGGAATGTCCGCACGGCAGGTGCTCACAGTGTGTTGTCTCCGGAGGGTTGAAGAGGGGAAGCTTCGGTGGGCTGGCGGCCCATACGGTTAATCCTGTCGAAAAGTATGCGGTCACCATCAAGGAGCGCGATGGTTGAGCGATGATACCACCGAGTCTGGTCAGGTGTATGATTGATTCCATGGTTCCATGGGAGTGGTTCCATGGGAGTTGGCTCTTTTGTTGATGTACGATAACTACTTAACTATGGTGCTGCTGCGCTTGTTTGTGTACTGTGTACTGTGTACGTGTTTTTTCCGAGCCGGAAAATTGGAGGGCGGGAAGGGAAGGGGGCCGTGTTGTTCTGTACCTGTACCCGTAGTACCCCGTAGTTTGCTCTACTGGTTGATGGTGGATTTGTTCTGATGAGAGTGGGTTTGTTGGCTGGGTACCTATTAGATCAAGGCAACATTTCAGTCTTTGACTCTGTGTCCCTTAAGCATGTGGAACTGATGTGGAACTGATGAATTGCGAGAGATCGTCTGCAAAAACTTTCGTTCCCGTTCCAGAGAGGGATATGACCTTAAGTGCTGCCATATGAGGTTAGAGAGAGAAGGAACATCAATTTATTGCTATAAAGCCCGTAGTAGGTAGCCAGACGAGACCAGCGGCCAGCTGAGTCGGGTTTTAGTTGATTGAAGATTTTTGGCAATAGAGCGAGTGATACACCATGCCGAAGTATCTACTGGTACTGCTTACCACAGAGATTTGGAGCCCTGCTAAGCAGTGAGCATCGCAATAACGGCACCGAGATCGCAGAAGAGAGGGTGTTCGGATAGAGGTTCGTCCTGCTTGTGTGGTCTTGTTCCAAGAAGTGGGTGAAACCCGATTTAGACACATCTGCCAGCGATATTGCTTCTCAACGTTGGTGGGAATAACCAGAGAACGATGATTTCGGAGACGGTTTCGGAGACGGTTTCGGAGACGGCTTTGAAGACGAGGCCGCGTGTGGTATTGTAAGAGAAGCCGGTATTATACTTGATGAGGTAGTTGCCGGGGCAATATCCACCTCCCTTCTTGGTACAGTACTGATACCATCCCGAGCTCGACTTGATCATGCAGAGCCACACATTGCGCACGCAAACACGACAAGCCCCACGTCCCCACGGGCGTGTAGCCTACTAGTAGCCCAGCAACACTACAGCAAAACCCCAGCAGCAGTACGGTAGGTATCCTTTTTCAATTCGCCAATTCGCACATCTGCACATTCACACATTCCTATATGTAGATACCCTATCACTATGTCTGGGGTGACAACTACGCGAACATCCTGCAAGAAGAAGAAGAGAAAAAAAAAGGACAAAACAGGCTTTAAGTAAGTAAAGAAAAGGAACTCCAGATCAGAAGGAAAGAAGAAAAAAAAGAAAAAGATATCACAAGACAAAACCAGACCAGATGCGACAAGACATGACAAGACCAGACAAGACAAGATATGGCAAGGCCAGGCAAGGCAAGACACGACACGTTCGCCCCGAAAACGAAACGAAACGAAACAGAAAAAACGACGGACTGACGACCAAAGAAATGACTAGATAGACCCCGAGCAAAAAAAAACACGACGGAACTCCGTACCAAAGCCAAAGCCAAAGACCAAACAAAGATGGCTCCCAAATACATAACAGACCCAACCAACCTACCCCAACGAAACGGCTCAACAGACTGACGTAACAGATTCCCCAGAAAAAGCGGGGTGGGTATCGTGTCGAGAAAGAGAGGGTATCGTTTGTTGCCCAAGAAGGTATCCCAAAGCAAGCACCAACCAACCAATCCAATCCAATCCGGTAATAACACCAAGGAAATTCCTAGTACGCCAAGGCCACATGTCCGTCACCCGGCGGCATTAACCCTCACCACCCGTTCCCTAGACCTGACGGCTGCTGCTGCTGCTGCTGTTGTTGTTGCTGCTGCTGCTGCTGTTGCTGCTGCTGTTGCCGCTGCTGCCTAATCGCGCCACCACCGCCACTACCGCCGCCACCGCCAACACCACCACCAATCCCACCACCGCCTCTAGCTTCCCTTCCCGGCCCGTGCTGCTCCTCGAACTCGTCCCTTTCCTCGGCAGTTACATTTTTCCTCTTCTTGACGATCTTCTTGGATAACGCATCCAAGCTCTTATTCTCCCTCCACGAGTCGACCACACGCAGTGCTTCCCACTCGGCATGTCCCCGTTCCATCAGCTTCTTGACCTCCTCGATGATCACCTTCCTGCGCGAATAAAATTTGCGCTCCGCCTGGCTGGCGCGCCACTTAGGCCCGTACGTAGACTCGAGGGATAGCACCGATGGCTCGTTGGGCGACAACCCTTTCTGCCATTCTGTCCAGAGGTCCATCACGGTTTTGATGGAGCGCGACAGCTTGTACTGTATTGGTTCGCCTCGCGGGGACGAGGAACTCGATGTGCTGGGTGTACCACCGCCTCCGCCTTCACCTCCACCGTTGCTGGCAACCGGGGCAGCAACAGCCGCCGGAGCACCGTTCGTGTTGGAATAGTGGATTGGTGGTGGTGTTGGATGGAGAGGGGGAGGCGAATAGGGTGTCGGAGGATTGTTGACGCTGCCGTTGGGAAGCGCGTTGTAGTTGCCAGAAGGCATTCCACTACTGCTTGGTATCGGTTCCGGAGACACGATGGTGTTCGAAACAGGCGTCATAGGCAGTGGCGGCGGTGGAGGTGGTGGTGGGGGCGGAGGCGGAGGCTGCTGTATCGCGCGAGCGGGAACGTGGGGGGCCGCCGTATGGCTGTGGTGATTCGGAAACGAGACGACAAATAGCATGCCGTCCTTGAGGAAATGCGGTAGCATCGCACGCGCGATCGTATCTCCTCTAGAATTCATCAACTTTGGATCGCCGAGTTTTTGGAACGTGGTTTGCAGCACGGGAACTAAGCTCTGTACGTGAAACAATAGCGATCATGTCAGCGATGCCGTAGGGATAGAGGCACACATCGCGCGAGACGCCAAACCCACCTCCCAAGTGTTAGCGATACCGAGAGGCACCGCGAATGTCTCAGTGCCGTTTTCTTCTCGAACCCTAAGGGATGAAAGCCCAGGCTCCTCAGCGACTGCCGCACCACCACCACCACCTCCCATGCTAAAGTTCGGAACGTCACCCGTGTTGGAGGGCGCAGCAGGTACGATCGCAGCGGCAACGCCTCCACCTCTACTACCCATGCTACCAGCAGTATTGTGAATATGCGCGTTCGTAGTCGAGGGACTTCGCATGTAAGCTTGAGGTGGTTGCTGCTGCTGCTGCTGCTTCGCCGGCGTCCCTATCATCCCACTCGTATTGCCGCCCGTAGAAACTGCAGCCTTCTGTCCCCCTCCAGCCATGTATCCATTCGCACTGTACTTCTGTGCACCAACACCCCCGCCTCCACCTCCAGAGCCGATGCCATTTTTCAGCGCGGCAGAACTCTGCTGCTGCTGTTGCTGTTGCTGCTGTGCTGCCTGCTGCTGTTGTTGTGCTGCCTGTTGCTGGTGCTGCTGCTGAATATAAGCAGCCCTCTGGAACTCCTGCTGGTGGTGTTGAGCATTTCCGACGGCACCCGCGACCGACGAGTTGGAGCTCTGAGTGCGTTGTCGCTTCTGCGGGCGGGCGCTGACACTTTCGCTGGACGAGATGGGGAGGATGAGCGAGTTGGATTGGCCGGCTTGTGGGATGTACGCAGGCATATCTTGATCGTCGTAACGGTCGGGTTCGTTCGCCGGGAGGGGGAAGGGGGGGACGGGTGTTGGGGTTCGTGTTGGGAAGGGGGAGGGGGCGATGTGTGTGTGTGTGTATGGTATGGTATGGTATGTATGTGGTGGATGCCGTGTTGTTACCCTTTGAACAGGCTACGCACTAAAAAACGGCTAGACTAGAAACCTCCGTGTCCTGGAGGGAGGGACAGGACGGGCGGGTGGGCGGCTGGCGGGCGGGCGATACGACCGATCCGGTATCTATGGGGGAGGGGGAGGGGGGGCGTGTGTGTGTCTACCCGCGCGACGACGAGGAGAAGGTCGAGGAGGGGAACACGGTCGGGGTCGGGAGGCTGGGGAGGTTTGCGGTTATCGTGTCTTGTCGTGTTCGAGACTCGACGAGGAAAACTCCACGCATCGAAAGTTGAGTGTGTCGTGCGTGGGTGTGGAGTGAGTGGTGGGTTGGTTAGAATGGGGGGTTGGGTTGGGGGTGAGCGAGGGCGGGATTCGTGGGTGTTGTGAGAGGAGCTGGCTGATGCTTGTGCGATCGTGTGGCGCAGGCAGAGCTGTGTCGAGTTACATTCGCATGGCGGGTGGCGGTGTTGGCGGTTACGGCGGGTGTGTGTGTGTGCGAGGGTTGAGGGATATATGGCGGGCGAGAATTGGTGAGATGCAATACATCCTCGTGGAGCATATCCTACTTCAGGTGGGGAAAGAGATCTCGAGATGCCGAAGCGCGACGGCAGGTGTCGTTTGCTCTTCGTCTTTTTGGCAGCAGGACTCGTCAGGCGTGGCGAGGCGAGCAACCCTTTGCGAAACTTTCTGTTCTTACTCGCTCCCGTGCCGAGTCGAGTGGAGACACTATTCGATCGCAATTCGGCCCACGTCCGATTGATATTTCGGCCACCACTCTCCCGACCCAGCTCGTTGGGGACACATTGGTAACTCATTGTATGCACTTTCCTCTTCTAACTACCCTCATCATCCGATTTGAGCAAATACGCGGTGAAGTAAGGAGTGAGCTGTGGGATTTATTCGACGGGAAAGAGCAGGCACAGGAATACAGAGAATTCGTGGCCTTTTCGGCCAAGTCAGCCCCTCGAAAGATGTGTGAGTGTGTACAGTACATACTAGATGTTTCACCTGAAAAGCCCAGACGGCTAGCAGTCGATTTGCTGCTCCAAAAATTCTGAGCCGAAGCCCGCCCCGGGCCCACAACGTGCACAACGTGGTGATGCTGACCGTAAGCACTTGAAGACATAGCCATAGGTACCATGCTTCACGAACAAAGTAGACAAAACAACGCCTTGCCGATCGATGTGGATTGTTTGAGGATATCGCAGTGGATCACTCGTTCCGTTCATTAGCCAGAAGAGGAGCATTCACTGCTATGGGTATCGACCGGCGACGAACTGCATCTACATATGTCCTTAATAAACCCCGCCTTAAGCTTGGGTATACAACCGACGATGAGCAGCCCGAAGATCTATATAGATTTGAGGAGCCGATTAGGCGCAGAATGAAGGTTTATGCTGGAGATCGGAATGGCCGACCCCTGCGAGAAACTAGGTCTTACTCAAGTGTAGGAGTAGGTAGGATGTGTGTGTGAGAGAGATAGAGATTCCCAAAGTCTTTTCCATTCCATGCTCAAAATAAAATACCCAATACATATGAACAAGACAATCCTATGTTACCACTCAATAACGAGTCGGTCCAACAGCTATGATGAAAACAGTAATGATGAATGATGAATCTTGGTACTGAAGTAGGTATCCAAAAGAATATCTGCGATCCAATGAAAAAACTCCAAGAGAATTAATCAACCGAAACCCCGGTTTACAAGAACGCAGAAGCAGAAACAAAAAAAAACCCCGTTTATGCGCCAAAAAAATGAAGCAAAAGTGAAAGCAAAAAGCATAAACCACGCCATTAATGCCCCGTGTTGATGCCCCATAAGCCAGACGGACGGTGAGGCCCAAGGAATCCGGCGGGGAGATCTTCCATCATAAATCGTAATTGCCTTCACGCCTTTTCGTTGTTTCGTATTCCCACCTCTTTCTTGAGCCTTGCAATGATGGTGTTATTCCACTGGTAAAACCCACGCTCCCCACCAGTACTCCCGGGCTTCGGGACGCCCGATAACGCAAACCACTGCAAGAACCCGCCGCCGAGGGCCGAGCAGAAGTTCTCGTACGTGGAGTCGCACATCCATGGATTTTCCCCGGGCTGCGTCCGGACGATTGCAAAGCACCTTTGCGACTCTCCGGGGGCTGTATTCACCGGCAGCCACACGCGGGGGCCAATAGGCCTGTATGCATCTGGGTTATTCACTGGAGGATTCGGGTCGTGGATCGCAAGCTGGTACACTTTCGCTTCTGCCGAAAGGGAGTCGACAGTACCAAGGTTGCGGACGATCAACTGCGCGGTGGAGAGTGCCATGCCAGCCGAGAATACTCCAAAGATACACGCCCTGCACCTTATGTCAGCGACTGACAGAGATCGATTTCGGTCCTGGACAAAGAAAGGGATGGAGCCTACAAAACAAGAGTTGCCAGCCACTTGGTATCCATGCTGTCGCCATTGTTACTCCTTTCGCGCATGATGACTCCCATGGACACGATCAGACAGAGACAGTATAGCATGCCGTACACGACAACCTGAAAGAAGTACCGGAAGCTCGTTTCTGCTACGCATCCTCCAACCCTTCATTTTCATCAGCACTCATGCTTCCTCGGGAAGTGTTTCGCGAAATACCAAGGGCAGAAGTGATCCATCCGCCAGACGCAGCGCTCGATCTCGGAGCAATGATGGGATCGGTCCGGTTTCCAACAGTTGCACTTGCTACAGTATCGAGGAAGGCCGTCGCCCTCACACACAAATATCTCCTTGTCGAGGAAGTCTCTCAGATTCGAAGGAGCGGCGTCTGGATGCGGTCGAGAATTGTGCGTGTAAGGTCTGCCTTGCACGCCGTTACTGGCGTTGGGTAAGGGCGACAGATGTGGCGATGGTGGGTTCAGAAGCGTGGTCGAGTTCGGCGTTTGTGGTACTGGATCGGACGGATCCGCCGACAACCTGTCCGGCGCCGCAGCCACAGCCAGTGGGCGTGGAAGAGGGGGCGACGAGAGCCCTTCGGTGGAATTGACAGACGCAGGTGCAGCGGTGTCTCTTGAGCCCGTCTCCGAACATCCATCTTCCGCACCGTCGAGTTGCAGCTGGCGACTCGGCGGCTCAACGTCTCTTGGCGGGCCTTTTGGTACGTAACCAGGGTTGACGATCAGGGTGACGACGGTTCGAAGGTACGATGTCGCGAGAAGGAGAAGCAAGACGGCATAGATGGTGATGAGTATTGCCGCTGTGGCCGTTCGTTCTTGTCGAACGAGCAGGTGATTTACTGAGAAGATCCGCGTCAGCGACCGCGCGATTAAGAGTTTTCTTTTTTGTTTGTATCGAGGAGCGAGGGAGAACTTACCGCAGACCAACGAGAGGAACACCCAGGTCGCAAAACCCACGGTCCCGGCCATCAGAACAGGCATGGATCGAGCAACCCAGACGTTGGCAGTTCGACGATGCGCGCCCATGATGGCTGATGGTGGATAGCGAACTGTGTAGTTGTTAAGAAAGTTAGAAAATCAAGAGCGGAACGCAGCTCGGGGAGGTGGCAGCTCGCAAGCAAGGAGATGCGTGAGAGCGAGCGAGTCCCGAATAATCCATCCAGCCATCTAAGCGAACGGTGATGGTTAAGTGCTAGCTCTGGAGCCAAGACAACACCGCCTCGGCGATCCTTATGTACCAAGATTCACGGGCGAATTGCAACCCAACACAACGACGAGACGAAAGATCCCGTGCTGGTAACCATGAGTGCGTGGCGCGGCAGCTTTCATTTGCCCACGCGAACCCCAGCTTACGTACTGAGTACAAACATCATACGTCCAGCGTACCGATCTACCACCTAGCAGTAGGTAGTAGTACCTGCTCCACTAACTAACCCAGGGTACTCGCATCGAGCACGGTGCCGTGAAGTCGTCGGATCTGCTCGGTAGCGAGTGCCGGTCAAGTTCCCATCGCGGCAAGGATTGTTGGACCATCCGCCGCAATCTATCTACACGTACCGGACGCTGCAAACTATCGGACCTTCGAGTGGAGCAAGATGTGCGGGGAGCAGTCGTTTGGATCCTGCATCCCAGGCAGAAGCTCAAGTGCCGACAGCTTGATTGGCCGGCGATGTCGCAACTCGTGATCAGTCCGAGTATATACGGTACTGCCATAGGTGACAGAACGCCAGGAACGCCGCTGGCGGAGTACTCTATATATACTTGCCTACTGACTTGTGTATCTACACTGTATACCTGCGGACCCTAGCGCCACGCTGTCATGTGTAGTGCTCTCTCGACTTGCAAGCAAACGTTCACCAAACTAACGGCGAGCATAGAACGCTGTGGACATAGGTGCCTACGATGCCGCCCCTGCTGTGCGGCTTCGGCTCCGAAAGCTGTGCGTGCCATGCAGTCATTACCTCCAGTGCGCCGTGAGGCGCTCAGGCTTACAGTGCTCTGGCAGGAGGTTGAGCGCGCCGCCGAGCTCCCGCAACCTAGCTTCCTCTCTATGACAGCTATGTAGGCACTTACCTACTGACTTTGGATCCATCGTTGCTGTGGATATGACGTTGTTAGCGCTTCTCATTAACAAACCATGTGACAACATGCTCGCGCGCAGCAAACCAGGCTTCGCATTTTGCGGCTCTGACACCAGGCTTCGCATTGGAGACCGTTTTTCGGAGACTGCAAGGAACGGATAGAGACGGCCTAGCCTCTATCAGCGCGGGCGAGGTCCCGACAACCATAACTATCCCACGAAACGAGGCTGCGGCGTTCGGATGCTGTCATTTGCCTGCTCGGCTGCTGTCATTTGCCTGCTCGGCTGCCGTGATCGAGCCGCTAAATACCGCTTTCAGGCGCTTGCGTGCTCACCGAAACAGATTATCGATTGGAAGGCCCTTCAATTAGGGCGGCAAACAACCAGACCGACCGAGACATCATACGTGTGCGGATATGACGAGCAGTTCTCACCACTCATCGCGGTCTGAAGCCTAATTCCATGGCAGCCTTCCTAGGCCTGGCAGGTTGGTTGATGTCCGCTCCATCTGGTGCGGGGTCGGATCTAAGGGCCCGAATTGGTACTGCACACAACCTCGAAGCTCTTGCCTGGATGGTAAGTGCAGAAACGGGACGACAGTGGTGCACATAGCAAGATTCTTTCCTGGAAACTCCTCGCTACGATGCCACGCCCACTGAGTGCTCGCGCACCGTATCCGCAAGCCTCAATTCAACAGCATTGCCTCCTCCCCTAGATATATCGTTGTGTCACATCGACCTCCGGTAGCACTTCTACCGCTTAGGTTACACGAACACTGGCGCAACGGGCACAGCCGCGAATCAGCTCAAACGGGGCCTTTCCAAAACGTCGCCAGATGTTTGCGGGAATCACGCCCTGAGGGACCAAGCTTCGTGTCAGAGTTTATCCTCCGGGATTTGACGGGAATTCCCGTGCTTCGAACGGTTTCGGGGTATCATACCAGGTATTTGACAGGGCAGTGCAAGCGCGAGACTCTGTGGGCCCCACTCCCTTTTGGGCTAAGGAGAAGAAAAAAGACAGCCTTGTGGGATCTAACTAATTAGGACTGGCAGTGCAGAAATCACGCGCAGAGCATCCCCTGCGTGCGCGCAATTTGATTGGTGACTTCCCGAGGGGAGTGACCATTCGGTCAGCTCAAGGCTGATCACGGCCACTGCTCGCTCTCTGCTCTGTTTCTGCCGTACCTGTCGTGTCTCTACTGCTTGTCTGTTTCCAGCTACCGGCCCAGCCGTTCGATTTTCTCCGTGATTCATTCCCCATCAATGCTCACCGCCCCGCCCCCCCTCCCCCCACCCACCCCCATGGATGTATGCATAGCTGATCGATGAACCGAGATCCTTTTCTCAAATATGGTTGGTGCAGTGGTTCGGCATCATTCCGGTGCCGTACCTGCCTACCAGTGTTACCTACCACAAGGTTGAATCATTGTTGTTATATGCATGCTTTCTTTATGATATCCTTTTCCAGCTACTCGATGCTGACGTTTGAAAGAGGAAAAAAACAGTTGGCTTTCTCAAAGGCTGCAACGGCAAGACTGTCCACAACACAACCTGCGGTGTGCGGTGTGCGGTGTGCAGTATCAATACTGACTAGCACGCCTTTATTCAGTTCACGGCGATCCCGCATACCTTTTACTACCGAGGCTTCTTACTTGGTTTGCGCACTTTTCTCTTTGCGACCTTGTGGTGCGCGGGAGCAGCTACCAGCGCGCCGTACCTATCTTCACACAAGTAGCATCCTGGGGGGATGTATTCCGTTCATCCCATCCCACGGTCTGGAGCTTGTGCTTATGCACCAGTTGTTGCCTAAAGCCAGAGATCTATTGCCGCTTTGAAAACTACCTTATGCTTGGGCCCGGGCCATCCAACCTGCTCGCCAGCAACCGACACGCCAGGAGGGCTGGATCTCCTAGCGTAGGCTGGGTGTGCCATGAGGAGGATCCATCGGCGGTCTGGCTGCCTCGGCCTTGTGTGTCTAAAGGTTTCTTGCGGCGGCGGTGCTCTCTGCCGTTCTCGATGACACATTGAGTTTGGCGGCTGCCGTCCACGCTACTTGATACCGCACTTCTTGGGGCGGAAAGCATATGATGCGCCAGATTGTGGTCAGCGGCGGGGCGGGACAGAAGGTTCTCAGCGTTACGGTCAAAGAGTTTCCTTCTGGGGAACGGCCCTAAAACCGGTCTTACTGTCTCGAGGTTTAGTGTCCTTGGACCAAGTGGTACCTGGGGCGTGCAATACTGGTGCTCCGGCCTCGCACACTATTCTTCAGGTAAACAACGTCGGTTGCGGGCATCGAGCACGCCCTTTCCGTATCTACTGTTGACAAGATGTGCTCCCTGTGGCACTGCAAGCTGTACTTGTGGGGCTGCACCACTTTGGAGGTCTGAAGGAGTCAACAAGGCCGAAGATACTGCTGGATATAAGAACCCGTATTCAACGCCGCTTCAATTGTTCTCACCACCAACACAGACACAGACACCAGCATCACCACCAGCTACACTCCAAGTACGAAGATATATCACCATCCCTCCGCCTCCTCAATCTAAGACATCGTTTTCTACCTCTCACCTCCCTTCCACGCCCCACACACATACAAACCACCACTACTACCACTACCCCACCACCCGCACTTTATTCGCCATGTGTCTCGGAAAAGGTTCCTCTTCCAACGGTGCCTCCGGCCGCCAAGACTCGGTATGTTCATCCATCCCTCCATATCTTATACCGTTATAATACTAATCATCCTTCCTTTCCAGTTCCATGAGCTCAACGCCCGAATTGCGGCCGTTCCCAGCCACGGTGGTGACCGTCACCCTGTGTACTCGGCCGACCTGCCCCGAATGGGCCGCGGCCGGAACAATAGCAGTGAACAAACGCACATTCAACCCGCTGCGCAGCCACCACGGACCGAGCGCCCCGGGAGCCACGGCGGCGAGCAAACGACGGATGACCAGACCGACATCAACGAAGGCCATGCCGCTTCGGGAAGTGAGATGATGTGGATTTGCTGCCGAGCATTCCAGACCCGTGATCACTACGGCGGTCCCTGGTTGCTCGCAAATACCTCCGTCTGCCTCGAGCCGTCTTGCAATCACCGACACTGTCTAAACTGCCAGACCTACTCGACGGGCCAGGCTTACTAGGCGAGCCTGCAATCACCTTGCGCTTCCGAGGCGCTTTGACTGGGATCGAGGCCTCTATCTACTCCGAGATCGGATCGGAGTGTGCAGTTGGGTTGGGTTGGGTTTCGTGTAACGGTGGCTCGCATGACATCCGACAATCTTGGGATGAATGGTGACTGCCTGGGTGGTGGGATATATACCTGCCCTCATCATGCAGGCCCCATAGCCCGGATCGTGGCTCACCCACTCACACTCGTTCCATGCTTTGGATTATTTTCCTTTTATTTTCCTTTTTTCCTTTTATTTTCCGCTTGTTTCACACTCTCTCCTCCGTTTATTCACTTGATCGATTTAGCCTCTGTTTTTTTCTTTCTTTCTCATTATCCGCTGCATTTTCTTTACACCATTGCGTTTTCTACCTCACGTTTAACTAGAAAAAACTTTAGATTTTCCTTTTCCCTTTCCCTTCCACGGTTTCCTCCTTTTTTCCCCCTTCTTTTCTTCTTTTTCTTGTTGCGCAGTTTCTAATCTTGTTTCTATTTTTTATTTTTGCTTGCTATTACTTCCCTTTTATCGGTTTATTTGTCTACATTTCCTGCGTTTTCTACGTTTCCATCACAAAAACATATCAGGTAGATGGCTTTCTTTGCTTTGCTTTGGGGGCATGATGCGTCTGTACGCGCGAGGGGTAGCCCGGAATATTTCCTTACGTTTTTTTTTGCTTTATGTTTTTGCTTTATGTTTTTGCTTTATGTTTTTGGTTTGTTTTCTCGGGGTTGGTGCGAGGTGCGAGGTGCGAGGGGATTAGACTGACAATTGATTTGACTTGAAATGATGGCGGCGGCGGGAGGGGATTTTATTTTGTTTCTGGATTGTTTTTGTTTGCTTTTCTGTTTCTGTTTCTGTTTCTGTTTCTGTTTCTGTTTTCTGTTTCTGTTTTTTTTCTTTGCGCTTTTTACACGGCCTTTGTTTTGTGTTTTTTGTCCTTCGTTTC